CAGGTCATATTTGTTACACTCTGGCAAAAATTCATCCAAATTATGCCTATGTCTTGAGGCTTTTCATGAGAATAAGTTTAAGAACAGTGGACTAATTATCTGGTGGGGTGAATTTCAAGACAGCTCAACATTCAGCCTGTGGTATGGACACTGCTGGCTGCTTTTAGTTAGATTTATAGTGAAAATCAGGGGCAAAAAGCAGAGCAGAGAAATTTGAAAAACTTAAATCTTTTCCCAAAAGGAACCACATGTTGAATTGGAGCTAAAAGATGTGTGGTTGCTGAAGAGATTGGTGTCATTAAAAAGAAACTAAATATTTTTTACAGGGATAAGAAGAAAGATACCTTGAGAATATCTCAGAAATCAGCAACACATCACCCATTACAGGCTCAAAGATACAAAAATAAAAACATTTCACTTGTGTAGAAAGTCCCCGGGACTCCTGCTCAGAAAGCACCTTCTGGAGAATTAGTTCTTCAGGATTCATTTCACTGTGTTCAGTCATACAGGTACTCCAAGGCTGTCACAGCTTTAGTTCAAGAGGAGCTATCTACTGTTTTCATTTACAGCAGATTTTGGGACTGTTCATATGATGCACCAGCATGCAGAATGCAAGAGCTGTGGGGTTAAAAGGCTTCAGCCCAGATTTCAAAGGAAGCCCAAGCAATGTGCCCCTGAGAGAGCAGTGCACAAAGCTACTGGAATGATGTCAAAGTTGCAGTGGAGACTCCAGGAAGTTAAGGATGCCAGTGATGTGGAACATCTGCTTCAGGAAAGCTGCAGGTTGTGAGTGAAGCTGGTTCAAAAGAGAGGCCCTGTGGGGTACAACCAGCAAGGCCACAGTGGTGGGATCAAACTCAGGTCCTTGTGCTTGTGAGGCAGGCAGCAGAACCACTGAGCTAAATCCCCAGCCCAAGTGAAGGCACTCTTATTGACTTCCTATGCCGGCAGGAATGAAGAGAAAGGCTGGCTAAAATAGTCCCATATTCTAGTTAGCATGTAAAAACACAAGTGCCAAGTTACTGATTGTTATTTTCCCTAGTTTAAGACAAAACAGTTGTTGCAAGTTTGTCTTAGTCTGACTTTCTGGAAGGAGGAGTGGTCTGACTACTAGGGATTTTGAAATAAACTCCGAACAAGTTGAAGAAAAATTTAAGGGGAGCTTTTAACTCGCTAGCAGAGAGAAAAAGTCCAAATAAAGCTCAAGCTGGTTAAACATCCAAAAAAATCACCATATAGCATTTAGAAGTCCACAGTCAACATTTCAAAGTCCATAACCTGTCCATAAAGGCATTTTTCCCCTACACACATAAATGATGAAGACCATGCCTGGGGTGGTTCAAACCTACATCCTGATTTGATAAAAGGAAATACTATAGTTTTTCCCAAGTCACAGTTTTGCAATATGTAGATGGTATGCTGTTATGTGCCCCCTCAGAAGAGCTTTCTAGCCAAGACATCTGGTCTGTTGAATTTTCTAACAGACTGGGGTTACAATATTTCTAGATCTAAGACACAACTTTATAGCCTTGAGGTAAAATATTTAGGCCTTATTATATCTAAGGGAACCTAAAGACTGGGGGAAGAAAGAATTAAACCATTTCTTTCCTTTCCACAGCCCAAGACTCCAAAACAACTAAGGAGATTCCTGGAAATTACAGGCTTTTGTGGCCTTCAGATAGCAGGATATAATGAGATTGTGTGACTCCTCTATCAGCTTATAGAAAAACCCAAGAGACAGACACCTGGGGAACTCATTCCCAGACCACACACTAGGAGTTCAAACAAGCACTTCTAAGTGCATAACTACAGGACACCATTTCAGTTTGTATGTTAATAAAAGGTGAGCCATGACTTTGGGAGTGTTTCTACATCAGGGACCTGCTCAACAGCCTGTAGGGTATTTAAATCATAAATTAGATATTATAGATTCAGAGTAATTCATTAAAAGGATAAGCCCTAGGCCAGGGATTTAGTTCAGTGGTTCTGCCTCCTGCCTCGCAAGTGCAAGGTCCCAAGTTCAATCCCCGGTACCAAAAAAAAAAAAAAAAAAAAAGGGTAAGCCCTAAACAATATAGTTAAGAACACTCATTCCTTTCAAGGGGCAAAAAGCAGCCATTCGTGTTCTTTGATTATTGGTTTGATTTTCTGCTTGGCAATGGAGTGGGAGTCAATCATAGCTTTTGTCTCTGGAGACATGTTTTGCTAAGGATCGTAGATCCACTCTGGAAAAGCTCCTGGTCTTAATTGTCCTTCTACACCTGAGATGGTGCCATACTAAAAGGCACTCTTCTGTCCCTTCTCCATTGCCCTGCTCCTGAGAAATAACGCAGTTTTCAACAGTGTTTGGTTTGAGGCACTTCCCTTTTCTGTGGCTGTTGGATTTCAAGATAAAGCTTCCAGAGTGGTGAGTCTCCTCTCCATGGAATCCTTCCAGAGTAAAGCTGACCTTCATTTATCTCTGGGACATAGAGAAAACTGGTCTAGGTTTAATCCTGAAACTCTCAAAAAATAAATGTAAAAGTTTTGGTCCAGATTTATTTGTCTTTCAGCCCTCAGGCAAAATTAGAGAAGGGTAAGAACAGCTAACCTGGCTTTGTCACTTCCTTGCACCTCTAGTCAGCAGCCACTGGCACTGGATGAGATAAAAGTCTAAGGGGCACCTTGGATTGGGCACAGAACAAGAGGGATAGATGGGGACACCTTCTTTCCCTTTGTTTCTTTTCAAAATGGGAAAAACTGTCCTAGGTAGACATTTGCAGCACAGCAGGTTGGAGCCTTGGCAGGCCTTCTTCCCTCACTGCTTGGAATTCATGCTTAGCTCCAAAGAGTGTCACCTAGTCTCTTCCACATGCAAACCTGGCCTGATCAGATCCCACTGGAAATAGTCACAATTACCTTTAAAGTTCTGTCCCTTTAGAGGGAACAATTACATGTAGCTATCGAACAACTATGGTTATCAAAGCAACCATGAGAAGCCTGTATAGCTGGGTATTCCAGTCAGATGAACCGTCAGCTTAGGGCCCATCTTAAACTGTTTTTGCTTTCACAGATGTAGAAGATTTTATTCCTTTTGATTCTTATTATAAGAGATCTCTGTAATTGACCTACAAAGTTCTGACTAGTCTTTTTTATAATTATAAAACTAAAAATTATAAAAGTTATAATTCAACTTGGCCAAATACATCTGAATGTACTTGAGTTTATAAACAAGTTGTCGTATGTGTGTGTGTTTCTGTTCAATTTGCTACAACACATACAGCTGTTATGTTTGAGCTTTTTCTTTTGGCATTTTGGATTTTTTAAAGATGTTTGCCTGTAACTCAAGTTGGCTTATAGATAATTTAATAAAAGACAGCTTCTCCCAGGTTGCCAGATTATCCAAATAATGTCCACTGGTTTTCAAAAAATAATGTGTTAATTGTTACGATCTGGCTCTCATAGGTCATCTAAAAAATTGTTAAGATAATTAAATAAAGATTCTTGGGCTTAGGAAAACTATAGGACAGGACTCCCCTTGGTAAATAAAGGAGCAGCTGCCTGGAAAAATTTATTCCAGCCTTTGTTCACAAAGGAGACCCCAATAATTCCCATAGCCTGTGGGAAATACATAGCTAAACATATTATTGTGATATGTAAAAATTGGTCATGGTCAAACAGTTAAGTTTTCTGTGGGAAAACAATAAGGTTTTATTTAAAATTCTCTCGGTACAAAACAAAATTAAGGGACAAAGGGTTTCATGTAGTATGAGTCTTCTAGGATATTCTTTGTGATAATGATCTTTTTTGACTCAGGTATCTGCCTTTTTCTTGCACTCCAGCTACTTGTGATAAGAGGTACATGTCAAGCCAGCATGAGAAAACGAGTCAAATAATAGTCTTCTTAAAAACTTATGTGATGCATGTTATATGTGTCACCATACTTAGGGATGTTCAGTCACCAACCAGTTGAAACAATGTCACACACTAAAATTAAAGGCTAGACACTATGAACTCCTAAGGTACATTTATAGGCTAATCTGTATGTTCTCTTTAGATGGCATCCTACTAAAGGACAATAAATAAGAGTTTTCTTTATGTCATTTCATGTCCTGTGATCAGATGGAGGTGTTTGACTAAAAGACTATTCTGTGCTAAGATGGACATGGATTCAACTACTAAAATGACCATGGTTGATAAAATATATTTCAGAAGTGCTGAATGTCCAGATGAAATTATAAGTTAAGCTCACTGCTCCTACTAAAATACTTATGTGACTGATCTTCTCTTCTGGGTGTTCAACAAGTAAAGTTTGGAGGCCAAAACTAGAAAGGTAACTGGGCTAAGAGGACAGCCAATATTTTGGCCCTGGCCCCTCAAGGTCAAGAAAGATCCAAGACACAAAGGAACCTTTCCTACAGGATCCTACGTCTTTGGTAAGTCACTCAACCTTCTGAGCAGGGAGATTGCTGGGCACCAGAGGACAAATGTACCGCATGCCAAAGGAGGGTCACAAAGAGGGAAAAGTTTCCCATGCTTTCACTGAAAGTAACATGGTCAAGCAAGGCCGTGACCCATCCTGACAGCTGACACTGACAGAGGAGCTGAGAGGCTGTACGCAGGGTTCCAAAGTGTCAGGTAAAAAAAGCCAAAAACCAATACCAGACCAGGCCACAACAAGCCTTTATTGTAGGGACAATCTGCCGGGCTGTCTCTGAACAAAGAGATGGAATTTGGGCTAGAAGTACTTGAGAAGGTGAGCAGGTTTGACAGAGGGAGGGTCGAGAACGTAGGTAAAAGAAGGCTTGTATGTAGGGGATTTCTGACCATTTGCATTGTGTTTTAAATTTTGGTCATTTCTTTTTTTTTTTTTTTTTTTTTGGTACTGGGGATCGAACTCGGGTCTTTGTGCTTGTGCAGCAAGCAGTGAAACCACTGAGCTAAATCCCCAGCCGGATTCTTTTAAATTTTAATTTTATAAATGTAGAACCCTCCTCTCCAGGAAGCTAGGAGACTTGCTTGCCATTACCCAGGCAGTGTGAGAGCCTGACCTCAGACGCGGGTCTTGCTTCACCTCAGGGACTTCTCTCTGCCGTGCCTGTGGTCTGAAAGTGAGGGTGACTAGGAGAGAAGGAATTCCCTGGGGAAGCATGAGCAGTCTTCCTTTCTCCTCTGCCCCTCCCCATCCCCTGATCTACAAACCTGCCAGAAGCTGAGGTTGCCTTCACACAACTTCCACAGCTGGGAAGGTCTACTCAGGACTGGAGTGCACTGAGGGCTGCTCTGCTTTCCCTTCCTGCAGAAGGACCAGCTCCCTGCAGACAGCCGGACAGCCGGACCTGAGGTGAGTGGCGAGGGTTCCTGCCCTTTCCCTGGAAGCTGTAGACTGCGCCTTGTTTGGGGCCTGGGGTCCAGGGAGGTGGGGGTGGAGGTCAACATTCTGAGTGTTCAGGTAAGGACAAGACAGCATCGGACGGGGCTGCTTTCTCCCCCAGGGAGACGTTGAGCTGGGCAGACGAGGCTGGGTTATGAGTCCCAGAGAGGAACTTTCAGCCCACAGCGTTTGGAAGCACAGGGGGGGAATATGTTGATGGGGGCGCTGGGGCACAGAGCAGGAGGACACTGGCCCAGGGCCCCCCTTGCTTATCCTGCTGTCAGCAGATCCAGGGCTCCTGTGGGCTTGCTGTCCCTGTGGGGCGGGTGACAGTCACTTCTGGTGTGAGAACAGCACCCGGACCAGGGCAGTTCTTCTATAGTCACGGAAGGAAGGAAGACAGGAAGGGAAGAAGGAGAAGGACAGAGACAGGGAGGGAAGCAAACAGGAAAGAAGCAAAGCAGGGGCAAAGGCGGCCCTGGAAAGATGTCTGCATGTAGTTATGACACATAGGTGGTGGTGCCAAGTTCTTCCGCTGGGAGGCGCTCCACAGTCATTCCCAATGGCCCTTTAGAGGAAGCTTTAACGGTGATTCAGGGGCGCTCTGATCCCTCCCTCTGGTTCAGTTCCTGGAAAAGTCAGTTCCTGGAGCTGAGTGAGTTTGTAGTGGCAGAGTGACTGTGCGACCCAGCCCAGCCTCTGTGCCGGTCCCCGTGGGCCAGGACGAACCCCAGGCTCCCCGATAAGGAAGAATCAGGGCTGGCCAGCTCCGGGAAGCAGACCTGCCTGAGTGTGCCTGGGGACTTCCCGCCAGAGGGATGCTGCCTCTCCCGAGGCTGGCTCCTGGATGTGCTCTGTGCACGTAAGAACTCCATTCTCCCCTCTTCCTGATTACATTCGACAAGCAGGTTGGAGGCGAGGGAGAACCATGATGGAGAAGGAAGCAGGCTGAATGTGTGGACGTGGCTGGGCATGGTTTGGGAGGCCGAGACCTGAGGAGTAAGACAGAGGGGCCCAGAGGTCCTAGCCGACCCCAGGGCACCCGGCAAGGCCACGGGCTTGCAACAGTCTAGCCTGGGAACCCCTCCCACCACCACAGGCACACCCACATCCACACCTGAGTCTCTTTTCTGTTGCTCTGACAGAATATCTGACACTGGCTAATGTACGAAGAAAAGATGCTTATGGGCTTACATTTCGAAGGCTGGCGAGTTTGAGATCGGGGGCCACATCTGATGTCCTTGTCGGGGAGACTGCGGCCCCCCAGTGGAGAGGGGCATCCTGTGGTGGAAGGGGTGCTCATATGCAGAGCCAAACAGGCTTTAATGACAGACCTGCTTCCAAGATAACCCGCGAATCAACCCATCAGCCCATGAGCTGATTAACCCTTTCCCAGGGACTCGGGACATAATCACCTCCTAGCAGTCCTGCCGGTCCCACCTCTCGGTGTGTCACAGCAGAGCCAGCTTCCACACGAGCGCCGCCGGGCACGGTCACACTCAGCACTACCCTAGACTCTGTGCAGCAGAGCTATTTCTGGGGCGCTCCTCTCGGTCAGTGGCCTCCCTTTCGCTCAGCCCTTCCTTTGCTACAGATGGGCCCTTGGCTCCAGACGGCTGCCTTCCCTCTTCTCGGTCTGATCCTGCTTCTCTGGAGCCAGGTGCCCGGGCTCCAGGGCCACGAGTTCCGGTTTGGGCCATGCCGAGTGGAGGGAGTGGCTCTCCCCAGCCTGTGGGAGGCCTTCCGGAGCCTGAAGGACACTGTGGTGAGCGCCTGTGGGTCTGTACCTGGACACGGTGGGGCTCCCTGGAGGCTGGGACTGGACCTTGTGGTTGGGAAGCCTGGCAACTTGCCTATCACGTTCCTACAGAAGAACTCTGCAAGGTCAGGAGCCTTCGCAGCCTTATGTTACACATGAGGAAGCTCAGAAACATGCTGTCGGCCCCGAGTGAAATAAAGAGCCCACGGGAAAGGAAGGAAGCTCAATTCATCCAGGCTTTGACCTGGATGGACTCTGGCTCCATGTTCATCTGAGGACACATGTGTGGTTGGCCTGAGGAGGGAGCTCCAGGCACGGCCCTCTGCCTCCTGTCCCCTCCTCCTCAGCAGAGCAGCTCCAGGAGGGGAACCTGGCCTGTGGGTTTGGTTTCCTCTCCCCTCAAATGACCACAGACATCAGACAGGGCCCTAGAACTCCTGCCCGGACTCCATCCACTCCTGGGAGCTGGGGATAAGCAAGTGGTTTTCATAGGTGCCCACGTCTCTGGGGCCAGCTGCGCATGGACCTTCCTGGGGCCCCCTTGGGTCTCACACCCGGGATAGATTCAGGGGCTGGGAAGCAGCCCCTACTTGCAGGGGTGGCTCCTGCGTGGACCCCTCCTCTGAAGAGATCTTTTCTGTGTTTCCAAAGCAAGCTCAGGACAACATCACGAGCATCCGGCTGCTGCGGCGAGAGGTCCTGCAGAACGTCTCGGTAATCAGTTGCTGGGAAAGGCCACCCTCCATGTGCGGGGTGACAGAAGCATTCCCTCTGTCAGGACAAGGCCCGGCACGAGCCAGGACTGCTTGTACCTGGGCTTGTAGGGAGAAATGGGGACTGAGCTTGTAAACATCTTTTCCACTGAGCCAGAGTCTGGCCGTCCATCTTTTTTTTCTTTACTTATATAAACACAGTGGATGTCTACTCGGGGGAAAGCTGTCTTCTCTTCCATCCTGTCTCTCACCCATTGCTGTCTTCATTTCCCACCAAGTCAGTCAGTGAACACGGATGTACTGAGCTCAGATCCCTGAGAGGTAGCAAACTTCAGGAACCAAGGGGGTAGAGTGTGACTGCTGTGTTCTAGGACATTAAGTTTCTCTTTCCTTCTCTTCCCTGTCATTTTCCCGCCTCCTCTCAACCCAAAGCCCAGTTCGGTGTTTTCAGGGCCCTCACCTCCCCGTACTGGAGAGGTTGTGCGGTGTGGAAGATGAACCAGGTGGGGAACCAGGAGTCCCGGGGCCGGGCTTGTGCCTGCCAGTGACGGCTGTGTGACCTTCAGCGGTCACTTCTTCTTGCGAGCTGGGTCCCTCTTGTGTGACAGCAGCTGCTCTGGGAGGCTCCTTCAATCCCATGCTGTCCTCGTCCACCGGAAGCCCTGCCCTACTGTGCTGCTTCTGCCTCAGATGGGGTGTGGGTGTCCCTCAGAGCTTAGGTGAGCAGGGCCCCAGCTCCACAGTGACCCGGGCCTCTCCCCAGGACACTGAGAGCTGCCACCTCATCCACGACCTGCTGAAGTTCTACCTGAACACTGTGTTTAAAAACTACCACCACAAAATCGCTGAGTCCAACATGCTGCCCTCCTTCTCTACCCTGGCCAACAACTTTGTTTTCATTGTGTCAAAACTTCAACCCAGTGTGAGCAGAACACCAGGCTCAGGAGCCTGGGAAATTGTGTGCTTGGGGAATATTCCCCTCCCCTTATGCTGTCCTGGCTTTAATCCACAACAGGGAATTGTGGGTGTCATGGAAGTGGGTCCTGGGTTCGGGTCTAGGTTTGCTTCTAATCTGCTGGGTGACATTTTGCAAGGTGCTCGGCCTCTCTGGGCTTCAGTTTTATCAGCTGGAGAATGGAGGTGACGACGCTGCCATGGTGGGGGGGCTGTTGAGGACACGGGCATTGCCTCTGCCCTCTCGGGCGTGGAAGCCCCTGCGACATTGCCAGGAGTGGAGAGTGAGGGTGTTTGCCGCTAACCCTGCCCAGCTCTGGCACAGCTGTGTTTTATTTCTCTGTCATCCAGCAGAAGAATGAGATGCTCTCTGTCAGTGACAGAGCGCGTAGGCGGTTCCTGATGTTCAAGAGAGCGTTCAAACAGGTGAGTCTGTCCCGCAGGGCTGGACCAGCTCGGGCTGTCCCTCGAGGGTGCCGTGGACCCTCATGCAGGGCTTAATGTAGGTGATGCCGCCAGACTTGCCCCAAACCCTCCTGACCCGGCAGGAGCATACATATAATGTGTCACTTAGTGCATGCTTTCTGTAAGCATCACACAGTGGTCTTTTTCTGCTAGTTTTCAAGTTAAAATGCTATTCTATAAATATGGGAGATTTTTTAACCTTTTCCTAAAATAAGCCACCCAAGAAATTCCAAACTTCATTCCCAGCACCTACTCACCCCCATATAAAAAAAAAACATGCATGATGATTTTGATCACACTTGGAGGAGAAGACACACCAGCCTGTAGACACATGGTGCTGAGCTAATGCACGTTAGGAAGTGGCCGTCCGGCTGCAGGGCAGACTCAGGTGCTGGGCTGCAGCCACCACGGGCACCACAGCTGTGTTTTGTGGTTCTTGGTGTTAGGGGAGCCGTGTGCTTTTCCCTCAGTCTTTTCCCACTGCTGCTCAGTGGCCTCTTTGTCCTCCCCCTGAGCGGACACAGCACGGGGGACAAGCGACAGGCAGGTGAGCTCATCAGCTCCTCCGGAGTGCTGGATTACAGGCGTGTACCACTGCGCCCGGCGAAAACTCCTTTCTCACCTAACGGATCTCTACTCTGCTTCCCTTGTAGTTGGAGATTGAAGCAGCTCTGACCAAAGCCTTTGGGGAAGTGGACATTCTCCTAACCTGGATGGGCAGATTCTACCAGTTCTGAGTCCCAGTCCGCGCTCCCTTTCCGTGCCGTTCAAATGCGTGTCCCTTCCTGGCTGCTCTTGGGCCCTCGCTGGCCAGGCCCTTCAGACTCCATCTTCTGCTGCCCAATGGCCATCATGGAAGGCTCCTCTAGATGCTGTGAATAATCTAGGAACCGAATTCCTGTATTTATTACGAGCCTGTTTAATCACTGCCATTATTGTAACCAAAGTTTTATTTATTTGTGAGACTGTAAGTGCCATAAAGGCGCCAGAATATAGTGTCCCACGCTTCCCTATTGATGCCAGTGATCCTGGCTATCACATGGGGCAGTGGATGGTGCTCAGTAAATACTTAATAAACTGAAGCTTTGGGTCTGTCTTTGGATTGGGGAGCAAGAACGAGGGGTACCGGGATAGGAGATGGAGCACAGTGCATGGGAATCACTCATCCGCAGGAACAGAGGTCAAGGGTAGAATGAGGGGCATCAGCTTGGGAAGTAAATGACAAAAGACAGTGTGTGAAGTACCCGGCTCACTCTCGATCCGCTCCTCTTTTCCTTTTCTTGGGTGCTCTCCTTGCTGCCTGGAACGGCAGCAGGGCCCAGCTGGCACTGCTGAGGTCATCGTACCTGGCTGGATCGTCCCCTCTGTGATGACAGTCCTTGCTAATAAAGGCAAACCCAGTTCAGTCCTGGCAGCATTTCCTTTCCATTTCTGGACCAGTGTCCGGGAGGCTGTGCTACACTTCCGGGAAAGGTCCTTCCAATGGCAGGAGTCAGCATCTGTAGCCTCAAGCTCTGGCTGTACTTTGTAGCTGACACAGATCCAAAGACAGTGTCTAACTATGACCTAGCTTCAAAAGCCTAGGAGAAAAGTATGTGGAGGAGGTGGGATGCCTCCTCTTCCATGACAGGAGTCCCACTGCAGAGCCTTGATGCCCAGGAACCCGGGCTGCTTCCCTCCCCCACCTTTCTATACTTATCTGGAGCTGGCAAAGAGATGAGGTGCATTTCTGAAAGCAGAGAAGTGATGGTTTGGGATAAAGTAGACCAAAGGTAAATGCACAAACATCAGTGCTAGGACGTGGAAGATGGGTAAGGAGATGACAAAGACTATGCCTAAAGAGGAGAATAGCTGAGGTCAGGGAATGTGTCCACAGCATGAGAGGGAGACTAAAGGAGGCTTTATGTATAAACATTAATATGCTTATATTTATACCACTAACACTAACAAGCTCGGCTCTGCATATGTAGAATATGTCCCCCCATCAAAATAAATTGCCCTTAGCACATAGGACTTGAGACAGATAAACAGAAGCGTGTGGGGCTGAGGCATGTCCTCCTGTGCACCCCTACAGCCTTCTGCTTGGATGAGGCCCAAGCCTGGGAAGGGAAGCTGCTGCCTACACCCCATCCTGATGCCACAGGATCTAAAGCCAAGGCAGCAAAGACCCCACGACCCAAGGCACTGATGAGATGGCCTGCAGATCTCATGGCCTGGTAAACAGCTTGGAGAAGAAGCAGGTGGCATCGAGACAAACGCCCTGCCTGCCTGGAGCCTCTGAGGTGACACGGTCTGCAGGTGTATGCGAGGTGAGCTGGGGCAGCGCCGGGTGCAGAGCAGACGGATGTGTATGCGGGGAGATGGGGCATGCAATACGAGAGGCGACGAGGCCTCTGCTGAGACTCGGCAGGCGCTGGGGTCCTCAGACAGACAGGACTCATTGGCGCCACAGTCTGGGCCCTGGAGGACAGCTCAGCTCGGAAGGAACGTCAGGCTGGGGATGTTGATGTAGTCACTGGACTCAGCATCCTCCCTCCTGGCAGCAGGCTGGTGGCAGATGGTCACATATTCAAAGCTGGTCTTCAGCGATGGGACAGGGAGCCAAGGAGCGTCAGGCACCTGGGGACACAAAGAAGCCTATGTGGATCTGGGTGCTGTCTTTGCATTCCTCCAGGTGGGCCTCCCCAGCGGGGTGCCACCCTGGGGCTTTGCAGGGTGGTGCCTCACCCTGATGACTGTAGCGCACTTAGCTACAAGGTGGACAGGAAATGCCTCACCCGGGGCTCAGACTGGTACAGTGGGGTAAGCACAGGTGTGAAGGGGTCCAGCCACACGGGAGGGCCCTGGGCTTAAGACGCCAACACCTGTGGGATAACAAGGCATCTTTCAAGGGAGGTGTTCGGAGGCAGGCTGAGTCACCCAGACCTCTGTAAGGGCTTGGAGCGGCTGTGATGTGGTGTGACAGTGCATTCCACAAAGGGTTTGGCGGTGAGAGCAGGGAGACTGCCAGCCACCTGGGCACTGAAGCGCTTTTCTTCCCTGGACTGACACTTCGGGATCATCTACCTTTGGGACGTGAGTCAGTTCTCAGGGCACTGGGCTATGCCATGGCCCAACCACTGCAGTATCCTGGGGATGCCAAAGTAGGGACTCTGATTACACATTTATTTATTTATTTATTTATTTATTGGTGCTTTTTTTGAGACAGGGTCTCACTATGTAGCCTGGGCTGGTCTTGAACTCACCGTCTTCCTGCCTCAGCCTCCTGAGTGCTAGGGTTACAGGCTTGTGCCACCATGCTACATCTCCAGCCTATTTTTTATTTTCCATGTTGAGACAGGGTCTTGCTAAGTTGTTAAGCTGCCCAGGCCGGGGTCAGACTTATGATCTTCCTGATTCAGCTTCCTGGAATGCTGATTCCAGGTGTGTGCATCATGCCTGGCCCCTGATCAGGTTTTAAACACTAAGGACTAGAAGTGCAGTGTGTAACCCAGGAGGCGCTCAGGAAGCGCTCACTGGAAGCAACTGTTTTGTTTCCAACTGTACCAAAGACGGAAGCAGCAGCAGCTTGCTTCAAAATGTATCTCCCACTGCCTGTGATAGTGTAGTTCATCACTGAAGATTAATGCACTTGGCTTGGAAAATGAAAACACTCCCCGAGCAGGTCAAAGCAATCAGCCATGAAGTAAGTGTACGTCCACCTCTCTGTAAATCTGTTCCCAGGGGTTTGCTCCAGGAGTGGGTGAGGCCTCAAGTGGGGCGCAGGGAAACTGAGCGAGGGCAGCGCTGTGACTCTCGGAGGAAAAGGCTGCGGGTGTGGAGTCCGCGGCCAGTCCCCGTGGGGCCACCCTGGAGCGGGCAGGGAGGCCAGCGAGCTCCCAGTTGCGCTAGGAATAAGCTCCGGCCAAGGGCGTGCGAAGGCGCGGGACGCTGGAAACTTTGGCCTTCCCGTCCCCAGGGCCGGAATGTGGCCTCAGCGCTGGCCACTGAGTGCCGACCACAGGCTGGGCCCGAAGCCCCTACGGCCTGAGTCTCGGGTCCCCCTTCCTGGCCCCTGCTCGAACCCGGAGGAAGGCGGCTGGCATCGCCCTGGGCTCGCCCTCGGGGTCCTCCTGGCCCCTCCGGCAGGGGTGAGCACAGCCCTGGGATCGGAGAGCTGGGGGGAGAGCTGTCCCCCGAAGGCGCACCGGGCAGCCCCATCCCCTAGGGGCTCCCTAAAATCCAGCCTGGTCCTGGGAAAGCCCTTCTCAGGACGAGGGGTTACCCCGATCACCCCCTCCCAGCACGGCATCCAGCACGCACGGACCCCGGAGAAAGGGAACGGGGCGACCCCCTGGCGCAGGCCGGGAGCTGGCTGCCTCTCAGGGGCGGGACCGGGGATTATCGGGGGCGGGGCTTACCTGCAGCGGGGCGGGGCTAACCTGCGGCGGGGCGAGGGGCGTCGAGGGTCCGGGCTCCGGCTGGGGCTCGGGGACGAGGTCTGGGGGACAGGAGGGCGGGGTGAGGTTGCGGGCGACTCTCCCGGGAAGGAGCGCGCCCCGCCCACCCGAGTGCCCCTCGCCCCCCGCACCCCGCTGCTCACCCTCGGCGGCCCCCGGAGCGCGGCGCGGGCACGCGCTGTAGACGTTGTTCTGGGAGCGCGGCCGCTGCCCCGCGCGGGGCTGGCGCGACCCGGGCCGCCCCGAGGCCTCCAGGGCGCGCATCCTCACGGCCAGCCGGCGGATCCGTCTGGAGAGGGCTGCGGGCGGGCGGCGTCAGCGAGCTGGAGCCCCGCGCCCCACCTCGGCCACGGCGCCCGGCCCCTCCTGTCCGCGGCCAGCCCTCTGCAGCACCCCGCTCCCGCTCCCGCTCCCGCTCCCGGGCTGGGCCCCCCGCTCCCGCTCCCGCTCCCGCTCCCCGGGCCGAGGGCCCTGTCCCGCGCCGCTGCTCACCGCGCCGCCGCTGAAGCGCCCGTCTCAGGACCAGCCCCAGGAGCGCCAGCAGCAGGAGGCCCAGGGCGCTGGGGATCAGGATGTGAAACCCCAGGTCGCGCCTCCTGGCCGGGGAGCCGGGGGTGGATGCTCTGGGTAGGGAGGGACGAGGAGAGACGGGGAAGAAGGTTCGGAAGGGACACAGGCTTCCAGCGGCGCTCGGGCGCGGCCAGCTTTGGGGAGGTGACCCCTAGATCGGTCCCTTCCTCAGGACTCGCCCCACGCCCCCCGAGCGGCCCTGTTTGCGGGGTCAGGAAACTCGAGCCTACATTCAGGTTCTGCTCTTTACGGACAAGTCCAACTTCTCTAAGTTTTACTTCCCCCCAAATGGGTATAGGAAAGCCTAACTCAGAGCCGTCAGGGAGAGAGTTTAGTGGGTTAGAAGGACTGAATGCATCCGGCGCATTAGCAGCTTCAGGACGGCGGCCCGCTCATGCTTACTCCACAGAGTCAACGAGCCGGTTTCTAGAAGGGTGGAGGAGTGGTTTGGGTTTTTTTCCCTGGGTGCCCCAAAGTGCACGCGAGGTCTCGCTCCATGCCTTCTACGCACTGGAACCTTACCTTTCGGAGAGAGATGTGCCTAAGTCCTGTTTTCTACAATCATACTAAGCCTGAATCCGTTTTTTTCGTGCTGGGTTCCTAACTCTTGTGTTCATGTCCGTCACAAAGCTCGTCACAGACTTGTGTTAGGGAGACCCAGATATCTCCTATTTCAATCGTTCCAACATCTCACGGACATAGCACACTGCCTGGCACATAGCTGAGACTGAGAAAACGTTGGTTAAATTTACTTTTCTTTTTCTGTGGTAGGTTGATGTGATTTACCAAACTAGGAATCAGAGTCCTGGTTCTTTCTGAAACCACTGAGCTCTCCTGGCCTCAGCTTTCCCATTTCCAGAACCTAAATGATGGTAGAGGTCCCTTTCCTCGTTGACCTACATTACTGTATTTGTGTTTGCTTAAGCAAAAACAATTCCGATTTTCCGATTTCTAGGGGTTTCTTTGGCATCCGCTCTAATGCTGCCACCTAGTGGTCCACTGCTGTACTTCCTGGACGGCCTTCGCCCTAGCCAAGTGCTGATAGCAATGCTGTATATGTCACCTGTGCAATTTCAAACTGCGTGGCACCCCATAAAAAGGTGAAAGGAAACAGGTGAAAATAATTTTTTTTTTTGGTACCGGGGATAGAACTTGGGTCCTTGCGCTTGCGCAGCAGGCGGCGAAACCACTGAGCTAAATCCCCGGCCCCAAGTGAAAATAATTTCGACAATTAATTTTATTCTCATTTAGTTCTTTCCCATCAAAACAGATTTGAGTGAATCTGATTGAAAGACGAATTTCACTCCTTTCTGAAAGGTTAATGCGGGAACATGGACAGGTGTGTTCTGATAACGGGATTAATGAGCTAAGTGCTCTGCTCAGAGTACTCCACTCCTGCCCCTGGAGACAAAGCCAAGAAGTGCCCCAGGAGTGGGCACTGCCAGAAGGTTTCGGGAGCCTCTGAGCCCCAGCCTGCTTTGCTGGGCTTTCACCCATCACGGGGGTGGAGGCGCCCCTTACCTTTGCTTGTGCAGCCAGGTGCGGTGGTTGTAACTGGCCTCCTGGGGCCCAAGCAACCCCTCCTGAGCTGAAGCCTTTGAGGCTGTGGTGGATGGCAGAAGGGGTGGCGGCTTGGCAGCTGCTGCCAAAGATGCTCCAGGCGTCTGAGGTCGGTGGGCTGTTGGAGTGGCGGCGGCGGAGCGCTGGACTGGAGGGGCCTCTGTCCTCTCAGCTGTAGCATCTGCAGAAGATGGCAGGAAAGGCAGTGCCCCCTATACACAGTGTCCAGCAGGACTGGCCACCATGTCTTTCCTCAATGACCTCTTCCATTTTGCCTGCGCTGTACTTTTGCAGTCCTCGAGATCTGAAATGCCTCCCTAGCACTCCACTGATGCCCAGTCAGTTTCATGTGCATTGGCTTCAAATGCTGCTTCCTCCGGGAAGCCTTCCCTGAATCCCCAGGCAAAAGAGCTTACTTTGGCCTGAGCGGGTGGGGAAACCTTCCCACTCTGTCTTGTGCTGTGTTTGTGTGCCTATCTGCTCTGCCCACCTCACACCTGTCAGTCACAAGCGAGGCTCTGTGACTTTGTAACCCTCTATGCTCAGCGGCACCCAGCAGGGTCTCCTACTGTAACAATGTTCCGTCAGTGTGCCTACTTCATAGGGGATATGTGAGGATATGAGAGAAAGGTTGCTGGTCAAAATGCACTAAACTGGAAAATGATCCTGAAATGTAAAACTGCTAGCATGATAATTATTCATTTCGTATTGCACAGTAGAGTTGATAGAACTGCTGGGTGCCTGCAGGGAGAAGACAGCCCTGTAGCAGGTGGCACGATGGCCTGCAGCTGGGAAAGGCAGGCCCAGACCTGGTTTCAGCAGTCATTCATAAAAAGAGCTAGATTTTGTGAATGGAGCCTAACCTTCATTACTTGTGGCGCCGCCTGGTGGCGATGTGCGAGTTCTAAGACCAGGGCGGCTCTCCTGGCTGTGGGAAGTGGAAGGCGGACCCGAGGAAGGTCCCGTCTCCGAAGGTGTGGAAATGCACATCCGGGACCCAGTTGTGCTCTGCCAGCCAGTCTGTGAGCTGAACACGCCCCCCCCCGCACGTGCACGGTCCCGCAGCGTCTCCCCCGCCTCTCCTCCCCTTCTTTGTCGCACTGACCTTTGGATGGGAGTTCTGGAGGCCCGGCAGCATGTGGCACCATCTCAAGCCAACTGGGCATCTGCTGCTGCAGAAGTTTATGAAGCCATAAACTTTGAGACTCAGACATTGGCTCCTCTTCCCAGAATGGCTCATACTCTGCTGGAAGCAAGAGAAGTGCATTGGACGTCACCAGCGGGAGACTGAGGTCTGGGAAGGGGTGTTGGCATAAATAGAAGGTGACCCCACTGAGGTGAAGGGTAATGAGGGGCCGAGGGGGCACACTGAGAGGAGCGGAACAGGAGCCAGGCGTGGGCTCCCTGAAGGAAATGCTCTTTCCCGAGGCCAGCCCAGCCAACACTCCCTGCTGCGCCATCGGAGGCTACCGGGACTGTAGGCCATCGGCTCGGGGTAGCACATGAGCAGGAAGTCCCTGGAGAAGAGGGAAGAGGCAGAACCGGACCACACAGTGACAGATCTGGCCTACAAATGCGGCTTGATTACTCAGTGTCTTCTGTTTAGGTTCATCTCTGGGGATTCTCATTGCACGAGACACAGAACCATTGTGTCATTTGCTTCCAGGTTCCCCCAGTCTCAGAGCCTCTCCACAAGCTCATGCACCTCTCCCTCGTCCCCTGGCTAGGATGCTCGTGCCAGTACAGCGCCCGTCTTATCCCTTTCCTCCACTGTGTAGAAAGTTGCATGGGCCAGGAGGTGACTGCAGTTCAGCTGGACCAGTTGTTACTGGCCTGGCTGTTACAGCCAGAGCATCAGACTCTAATGGTTAGGGGTTGTCTTACTCCTGGGGAGGGTGAGCAGCCGGGTGACCTACCATTGTGGACACTCAAGGTGACTTTCAGGGTCTTGCCTTTGTCTGTGTGGATGCCCAGTCCGCAGGCATAGACCCCGCTATCCCTCTCGGTCAGCCCGGTCATCTCCACCAGGAACAGCTTCCTGTCTGAACATGGCATCAGGGTGACTCGGTGCCTGTACTCGTCCTTGATGAAGTTGCTGGACACCACGGTACTACATATCCCAGGGTTAGCCATCTGCCGGCACAGGTACATCCGCACTTGGCCTTTTTCAAGAAGCGGGCACTCGATGACAACGGATCCGCCCAGGGCTCCCTCCAGCTCTACTTCCGGGAGGATCTTCAGAGCCCCGGACACTGCAGAGAGAGGGGGTTGATGTGGAGGAAGCCCATCCTTGCTGTCAGGTCAGCCTCTGCCAACCCTTAGTGTCACCCCATGGCCACTCCTGCCCACATCCTTAGCTTCTTCCCACGCCCAGCCCGAGTTACTGTCTCAGGCTGGGTCTGTGCCCACCCTGTGCTGTGCCCCAGCCTCAGCACCAAACCTCAACCCTCAAGGACCAGACTCCACCCCCGAGAATACAGTCAGAACCACAGCGCCCTTTTGGGAAGGGATGCACCTTGGTGACCCCAAACGGCACATAGCTCCCAGTGACTTCCTTTCTGCGGGTTGGGGGGCGTGGCAGGGCTGTGCTGCAGCACACACTCCCCGCCGTTTGGTTTTGCTCAGGCCCACCCAGCCCACCGTGCACCCCAACAGGCTTGTGTGTTAAATCTCTCAGCAAGCATTTCCCGAATGCCTCCTTGTCATCCTTCCCCCGCAGAAGGGATCCCTTAGCAAATGATGGCCGGACAGCCAAGCTGGTGCAGGGGTAATAAATCCCACGGCAGGGACAGCGCGGGTCCCTTGGGGAAAGCAGGAAGGGGACCGGTCCTGCGGTCGTGGGAATGGGATTGCTGGGGGAATGACCTCCAAGCTGCGACTGGAAGGAAAGGCACGGGGGGCTGAGGAGGATGTCGCTTGTCACGGAGGGAGTGAAGTCATAGGAGGGAAGGCAAGGGCATGTGTGAGTGAGTGCACACGCGTGTGGGTGTGAACACCGCATATGTACTGGGGAGGGATCACAGATCGGGGTTGCAAGCCCTGGACATCCAAAAGGAAGGCCGAGTGCGGTTCAGCCAGCAGCAGGGAAGGAAGGGACACAGGTGACTGAATGTCAGCGGAGGGTTCCATAAGTGGCTGGCTGTTTCTAAGAAGAGAGTACACAGGGCAAAGTGCGTGCGTGTGCGTGCGTGCCTGCGTGTGTGTGTGTGTGTGTGTGTGTGTGTGTGTTGGGTGAAGCTGGAGGGCTGGGGTACAGCAGAAGGGCGTCTTCCAGGCGGGAGAACGGTCCTCCTGAAGGCAGGAGAGAACAAGGTGGGCCGGGATTTAGCTCAGTGGTTCTGCCATCTGCCTCGAGAGCGGCAGGTCTCAAGTTCGATCCCCAGTACTAAAACAAAACAAACGAACAAACAAGAGAGAACAAGGTGCACAGGGGCAGAGCGAGGTCTGCGGACGCCCGAGAGCGGCCACAAGGCGTTCAGAGCACCTCCAAGGGGTTCAGGCAAGTGAGAGTCAGGGGCAGCATGGGGAGAACGGAGGCTCAATCAGACGTTCCGGGAGACGGAAGGCCGTGGACGAGAGTAAGGACATGTGGACAGGCGTGGGGTCAAAGATGAGGCTGGGGAGGAGCCAGGAAGGCGCCTCCACAGGAGCACGTTGTGACGCACAAGTGCAGCCGGTGTCGATGTGGTCCGCGGGCCCAGCCAGGGAGGAACGTGAGCTCTGGCGGGGAAACGCTCCTGTGCAAAACCCAGCGCTACGTTTGCACCCTGGAAACAGAGCCGCACGGCGCGTCGGTGCAGGGAGGAGGCAGCAGAGGGTGACCTGCTCACAATGTCCCAACTGTAGGACAGGAAACCAGACGGGCTGGGGAACCACCCTGAGCGCCAGACAGCCCACACCTGTGTGGAAAGCTGAGCGAGGGGGCGCAGGTGCACGAACACTTTGAATGACACTAAACCACCAGGAGGGCACCCAGGGCAAGCGAGCAGAGGTGGGGCCGCCACCCGTCCAGTCATGCACAGTCGCCCCGTTCCGCTGAGGGCTGGGCGTTCGGTCAACTCCTGGCCTGCACGCTGGATCCTCGCTGCCCGCTCACCAGAGGGACGGAGCCCGGGCGCAGCTGCACACGAGCTTGGGCTGACCAGACGACAGCCGGCGCCGTGGCAACGACCAGATCCCAGGAGCAGTAACAGGCTTGCTTTGGAGTTCATACCAGCCTCTAAGCCTTACCGAGGACTTGGAAAAGCACATTTCCCAAACAGCAAAGGTAGCTCTCACGCGGTTTAGAATTCTAAAACGGTGCAGGAAACACAGGCACCTTCTGAGGGGAGCTCACTAAGTACAGAGGGCCTGGCCCTGCCCTGGCCTGGCCGGGGTCCTGCCGCTGCCTAGGCTGGGCCTGGGAATCTGCGTTTGAAGCGAATGCCCCAGGGCCCTTGCATTTCTGCAACCCTGGGCTGGAGAACTGCATCCAGAAGGCAGCAGAGAGTATTCTAAGGAGCCAACCTGTTTAATATCAATATTTTAGGAAGGCTGCTAGCCAAGTGGTACTGATCTCTAAATTGGTGCTAGATTTTTAACGGTAATGGTGGTGGGGAGGAGATACTGGTTTAAGCAGTCACTTAAAATATAATTGGATGTACAAATTGTGATCAAAAGTATGGTGAATATTTAAAAGTTTTGAAAAATGCATTACAGTAAAAGACCAGTAACCACCACCTCCCTCAAATACGCCTTCTCACTTTGAGCACATGTACTACCCGAATTGTTCTGCCACTTTCCGAAGCAGCTCTGGAGTCCTCTTTCGTGAGTGTCTTTAGTTGCACTGTTGTGGCTGCCTCCATGCTCTGAATCAATTAAAAATCTTTACCTTTCACGATCATTTTGACTTTGGGGAAGAGCCGCAAGTTGCACAGTGCCAGATCCGCTGAAGAAAGTGGATGAGGACACACCATGATGTTTTTATTGATACAAATTGATATGAATGTTTTGAATCGATTCAGGACACCGAGGCAGCCATGAAAAGACACTCATGAAAGAGCACTTCCAGAACTGCTTCAGAAAGTGGCACGGATGGTGGGATAGGTGTGTTCGAAATGTGGGGGCATGTTTTGAGGGATTTAATGGCAGTGTGCCTTTCACTATAATAAACGTTTAGATTTGAGCATCACTGTGTTTCTCGGGTGTGGGATGTTGACAAGAGATGAGCTGCCTTGGTAGTTCTGTTTATCAGAAGGGCCATGGGATTTTTCGAATCTTTTTAAAAGCATGAGTATTGTCCCTGCTGGCCTCTCCCTTCCCGGGAGCGCACAGGCCAGCTGCCTGGCCTCCGTCCGGCCTCTCTTCGAGGCTGATCCTCCGCCTGGGCCAGGAGCCCATGCTCCCTCCTGCCTCACAACTTCCGTCTGCAGTGATCGCTGCACGGCCTGCAGCCGGGCTCCTCTGGGTAAGCCTGCCATGGGATCTCACACCCCACCTCTAACCGTTCCCTCCCTGCCACCCACCACCTCAGCATTCCATTCTCTTTCTCAAATTCCTCACCAGAGCCACTCACTCAAATTCACTCCGCACCTCCAAGTTCTCCAGCCTGCTCCCGGCAGGATTTCACCCAGGGCCTTCCACTGAAGCTGCTCTTGCCTAGGTCACCGCGGTGTCCTTCAGGGGTCATTTGTTCACCTTCACCTCCCGCCTCTGTCCCCTCAGCAGCAGACAGACCTGAACCACCCCGGGAAGCAGTGTCCTGTGGCCCTCCTGACAGCAGAGCCCACCTTTCAGCTCCGCTCCCCCGCTTCTCTGCCATCTCTCAGTGCTGGTGCCTGCTTCCTGCATCTGTTCTTTCCCGGTCCTCCTGTGGCTCCTCCTCTCCCCATACCCGCTCACTTACTCCAGTGACCCCACACAGATGGCACCTGCAGGCTTATTTATTTCCAGCCTTGTCTTCCCCTCCCCTCCAGGCTGCGGACTCGCCCTTCTGACATCTCTACTTGGGCTCCACCTGAATATCTAAGGTGACAGCAAACTCATTGTAGGCAGATGGATTCTCTTCCCAAACCTGTTTTTTCGCACACCCTTTCCATCTCAGAAAACCATACTGTCACCTGTCCAGCTCGAAATTTATCCTTGCAGGGCTGGGGATGTAGCTCAGCGGTGCAGCGCCTGCCTGGCAAGTGTGAGGGCCTGGGTTCAAGTCCCGGTACCAAAAAAGGAAAAAAAGAGGGAGAAAAGGCCACTCCCCCCAAGGAAACTCTTTACAAATACTTGTGCTTGGGCTGGGGATTTAGCTCGGTGGTTTTACCGCCTGCTGCGCAAGCGCAAGGACCCAAGTTCGATCCCCGGTACCAAAAAAAAAAAAGAAGAAAAATGAAAGATAAGATACACATAAAATGTTAATAAAATGAATATATCATATTAATAAAATATTTTTTAAAAAAATACTTGTGCTCATACCAGTGAGTCAAGAATAAATTTTAGGTAGGTGTGTTTGTGTGTGTATGTGTTGGATCACAGCATCAGGTGTGTGTGTGTTATTGTTATTAAGGGCTAAGGTAAAAAGGCTTGAGCCCACACCCTGTGACTGGCCTGCTTTAGGGCAGAACCCTGTTTACAACCTACAGAAGGCTGTAGTCAGCGTGGGCTACGTGTGCAACACGCACTGGGCACCCAACATTTGCAGGACCTAGGGTTACATATAAAAGCCCCAAATACCACACGCTTATAAAAACTACAAAGCTGTAAATCAAACTGACCAACTGCTGGATAAATAGCTTATATTCCCCTATCCTGACGAAGGTGCATATTCCTCAAATGCCCATCTTAAAGTGTGGCCACACAAGGGGAATCGGCCTGAGTTCCCCGCCCCGCCGCTGGCTTGTCCCCCTCTTCATGCCCGGCTCCTGCCCGTCCCCAAGCCCTGATGCACAGATTCCCCAGTCCTCAGGTGCAGCCTCCCCGTCCCTCCCTCCTGCCCCAGTGGCCACTTCCTCAGGGGTCAGGACAGAAGCTCGCTCCGTCACCGAGAGGGGCAAAGTCATTTGCAGAGGGAATTCCAGTTCTAGAAGAGGGACGTGGGTGTGGCCACCCTGAGCCAGCTGCTCCTCTCCCTGCAGGGCTGGGCGTGGAGGAGGATGGGCCCAGGGCAGGGACCTGTCCAGCCCAGCTAGAATGGTGGTGCTGAGCTTGGCCGACCGAGGTGGTAACCTTTAGGTGCCCTTACACCTGTAGATCTTCTACTTCCACCCAACCCTCTTCCTCCTTGGACTTAAGTTTAGCTAACCATCTACTGGGCACACATGTGTCCAACTACCTCAGAGTGTCTGGCATTGCATGGCAAATCTATTCCTTTTGGCTTTTAAGCCTTTTCGCTCTTCGACACAGCAAGCCTTTGAGTTTTTTCCATATTCAAGACATCACAAAGAAATCAAATAAGATAGGAAAACTTTTTGACCTTAAGGATCATATCATTTAATAAACCAAATAAGATAAACATAGACTGGGCCACACTATCAATGGGATTGGTGACAGGAGTTCAGAAGAGGAGGCTCAGGAAAACCTACGCGAAGGACATGGAGTCTGAGATGGACTTTGAGGAACCCGTAAAGGATGAAGGTGAATGGAAAGATGTTCCTGACAGAAAGAATAGCTTGAGCCAGGGCAAGGTGGCAGGAATATGCAGCATATGTTCAAGGCAGAGTCCTATTTGCCAGGAGAAAGTTCAGGGGGTGTGGTAAGCTCAGAGCACAAGGAGGAGTGAATATTTAACTCAGTAGCCATGGGGGCCATTGTGGGTCTGAGAAGGGACAGTCTTAGTACGCTTAGAGTCAAGTTGCAGGAAGATTATCTGGAACTGCATGCAGGCTGAGCTGGGTGAAGTCGGAAGGAGAGCCGAGAGATGACTGTGGATTCTTTTCCTCGTCCATTCCACTGTTACTACCCTGTTGGAGCGAGACTGCCATTGTTTCTCATCCTGGTAAATGCGGATCTAGCAGCCACATGGATTGGCCATTGATTGGGCCAAACTCTGGGTGGGCATAAAGAGAAGAGGTGGTAAAAGCCCTGCTGGCACTTGGTGGCAGATGTTCAGAGGCTTGTGACAGCTGGAATAGCTGTTTTGGATGGTGAGCAATGGGGATTTTGAGATAAGGCATTAGGCACACCGCATTGCAGATCCCGCTGTGATGCTGAAGGGGAGGTGTGCAGGTAGTTTGCCAGACAGTTGTGAACTGAGGTGTGGGACCAGGAAATAGACGAGGGATGTTGGACAGATTAGGACATCTTCATTTGGAGTGGAAAGTTGGAAATTCAAGAGTGGAAAAGAGCGAAAGAAAGAAAGCAGAGGCCAGAAGAAAGAACAGCTTCGGGACCCCATATTAACAGATGAGCACACCTGGCAGAGGTGGCTCCTTCAGCCTTCAAGAGTCAACACCGAAGCGAACAGAAGAGTGTGGAGTGGAAAGAGGCTCACTAGCAGGGTGGGGCCCCTCTCACACGGCCCCCACCCTTGTCTGGCCCTACGTACTAGCTTGCAACTAAATCTGCCCAGAAAAGTCAAAGCTGGAGATGTCTGACAACTGACTCTGTGGCTGACTCAAGCCTCGCATGAGTCCGAGGTGCTTCCCCGGGGCACTTACCCGGCAGGAGGTAAAGCCACCAAAGCCGGAGGTCCATGTTTCCTTCAGGAGCAAGGTCCCGGCCAGAAGTCCTTGGCCGGGGACAGCGACCCAGTGCTCACCCAGGAACCCTTCACAATCAGGACCTTGAAAGAGATGCTGGTCCCCTTGAGGGGCAAAGGCTTCAAAATGAGGAAATGATAACTTGTGTTGTTTGCTAACTAGTCTTAGTCTAAAAAAGAAAACATCAGCAGACCGCAGGGGAAGTCAGCTGAGAAAGCACATTGTGCTGCACAAGAATGGATGAGCTGGGCTCAGAGGGCCTCTAGGCAACTACAGGCCTGATATTTCCTTCCTTGGCACTTTTTCTCCAGGGGGCCCCAGTGATTTGTGCGTAGTAGTAGAGCCCTGAGCTGCAGTCACTTACTTTATTCCTGTCTTCAGAGCAAAGGAATCTTCTAACCCCTTTACCCCATTGGACGAAGGTCATGTGGACAGAGCGTGGACCTGAAGTCCAAAGATGCTGGTTGTGGTCCTAATCAGTCACCATCAACCATTTGACTAGTACTTCTGGGCTTCTCTGATGTGGAGGTGCTGACCATGGATTATGGGCATTCTCCACTTCCCTCTAAGCCTCAGTTCCTTTATTTAGAAATTAAATGAACGCAGGACTGGATGACCGCTGGCCTTCCCTCAGGCCGAGCATCGTTGCTGGGTCTTCCTGACAGCTCACCAGTGCTGGGAGCATCCATCCCTCTTCCCTCAGTGCCCCCAGCTGCCTCCATACGGCTCTGTCCTCTAGCACTGTCCAGTGGCCACAGGGGCAATGCCAGGAGCAGAGTGGGACCAGGCACACAGCGATCCTGTTGGAACTCGCAGTAGCCCGGCAGAGCCACCTGCAAGTCCCAAGGGCCCAGGGGTGAGGGCCGGTGATGCAGGAGAAGAGAGATGCTAAGCCTCTAGGCCTGGGAAAGCCCTGAGATTCGGGACAGAAGGCTCAAGTCCTCGTCTTTTCTTGGCACTGTCTAGCTTCTTGCAAGCTTCCTTGGGCCACAGTTTTCCCACTGATTAACAAGGGCGGCCCCAGCAGGCTGTCTTGCCCACCTTTTGTGACACCGGCAGAATCCCAGATGTGGACGTGCTGTGTGAGCCCTGAAAGCCGCCAGGTGCAGGGTTTTCCTCCGAAGAGGATTTCCGGGCTTCCTCCTGTCTGTCTCATGTGTGTCAGACTTTGGCTCTCAGGGCCCCATCTCCAGGTGCTGCTGCCCGCTGTGTCCCGGAGGACAGGGCCATTCCCACACCGTCCCAGGCGGGGCTGGCTGCCGGAGCTTCCAGGCTCCTGGGTGGGTGTGTGCACCCCAGTTCCCCTCACCCCACACCCCAGGTTTGTCACACGCTCTCCAAAGCACAGAACAACTTCCGCAGTGGAAGGCGTGTGCGCCTCAGAGCAGGTGCAGGGAAGCGTGGGGGTGGCTGCCTGCTTCACCCTCCCCAGCTGAGGCTGCTTGGCTCGACTGGCAGCTGTCACCGTCATGTCCTCCAACAGCAGGCAGGCCGGGGCGTCAGAGGGCAGCTTGGGCTCGGGCTAGTGCCTGTGGAGGCTTCAGCTGGCATCCGCTCCCTCCCTAGGGAGAGGCTCCTGCAGCTGTTCCACAGCTGGGCTCTGCCAGCCAATTGCTGCAGGGTGGGATTGCCCTGCAGGCCCAGGGGACAGAGAGAATAGGAATGAGCGAATGTGCTGTGCATGACTGCAGTGAGTGCAGTGTGCGATTTGTGAGCGTGTCGTGTGATCTATGAACACGGAATGTGCAGGACACAATGTGTGGCTCTGAGTCTGCGGGCTGCAGTGTGTACTTTGTGGTGTATGAGTGTGTGAAGCAGGGAGAGTTGCTACCTCCTAGCTTCCCCCAAATAATCAATTCTTCTAGGGAGTGTGTACAATAAAAATAACAGGGACCATCTCAGGAGAACAACGCATCTAAGTGGCCAGAGGGTGCACATGTGAGAGAAAAGATGCAAGACTGAGGCCAGGGGTCCCCAGGTGGCCTGTCTGTGGGATGGCCTCCCTCCTCGGGTGGTCCTCTGCACCCTTGGGTGCTCCTCTGTGCAGTGACAGACCATGACAATCCTTCTTCCTGGTGGCCTCTTCAGGGAGCTGCTCCCCTCCAAGCAGAGGCCCCTGGCCCAGGCATCCTGCAGCCCCTGCTTCCAGGACCCTGTGCACAGGCTCGCCTGTCCCAGGGCGGATGGCTGCACAGAAGCAGGGCTTTGGGGTCACTGACTGCCCCAGTGAGCCTCCTTACAATTTTCTTCATAAATCAGGGCAGAATTTTCATGGCTGAGGTTTATTTCTTGAACGTGGCTGTATGCCTGTTGGTGTCCTAAGGCTAAAACTCTACATACACGGGGCTTTGGGGTGAAGGTTAATGCTATTTATCTGTGGAATCCTGAATTTTAAAATGTTCACATCCCTGTCTCCACGACAAAGATTTTGGGCTGTCGTGAGTGAGAGTCCATTGGCACCACTTTTTTCTTCTTTTTTTGTGGTGCTGGGGATGGAACCCAGGGCCTGTGCTCGCTCAGCAGTGCTCTACGCTGAGCTCCACTCCCAGGCCGCAGATACCCTTTCTTCATCAGCCTTAGATGAGAAGCTCTAGATCCAGCTTTCGGGCTGGACGATCCCCCCATTCCTGCCTGCTCTTCCTGGCCACCTGGGGACCACTGGCCTCAGTCTTGCATCTTTTCTCTCACGTGTGCACCCTCTGGCCACTTCGATGCGTCGTTCTCCTGAGACGGTCCTTGTTATTTTTATTGTACAGACTCACTAGCAGAATTGATTATTTGGGGGAAGCTAGGAGGTAGCAACTCTCCCTGCTTCTCTGGCTTGGGGACCAGCTCCCCCATGATGAGCAGTTCCTCTCTGCCATCTAATGTTCTTAGGACAGTTTCTCTTTTTTCAGATATGGAAAGTTCAGAGAAATTTTTTTTTAGCACCACAAAACCAAATTAATTGCTGTAACAAGTTTCTAACCACTGTTGGGCTTGGTAATGGAAAAGCCGTATCATTACCTAACAGACCTTTAACAAGACAAAAACCAAGATACTCCAAGACCTTGGAAAGGATTTCCTTGTTGTCAGATATTTAAGTAGTTCCCTGAATGGCTGTGGTCCTTGGCAGCTGATGTGTTATCACCAGCCACAAGTCGATCATTACTCCTCTGTGTGGGGAGGCAGGATGCCCTTGCCAAATGCATGTCCTCCTTCTTAGTGGGTTTCCTCACGTGCTCCCTGGGGAGCAGATGAGCTTTGGACAGGACACTGGTCGACTTGCTATCAGCTACTGACAATCCTCATTAGAAATGAAGTAAGACTGCCTGTGGGTCTGGTGACTTTTCTCGGCCTTTGATTCTGGGGTTCAGGACAGGCTACACAAGCTTGCAATTGGCTTGCAGGTTATTGGTCTTAGTGCAGAAGCTGCGTATTCCTGGGGGTGACAGGGGCTGGCACTCCTTACAATTTTAGTTCTCCTAGGATGGTTTACTGTCATTTTAGGAAAAGCTAGATCTACAGCCCCATCAGAGAAGAAGGAATTTACATTCCTGATGGCAATCACTCCTGCCTGGAGAAGATCCCTAGGCTTTGAGCCAGGCTGGGCCTGGGAGTAGGGACAGTAATCTCCAGCCGGTGGAGACGGACAGCAGTTTTAGTGCTAGCAAAGGCAGGCTTGAGGAGGGTCCCACATCCAAGGCATTCACTCGAGGTCAGTGTTCACAGGAGGGAGGACGCAGGACTGAGGACTTCTCTGGGCAGAACTCCCCATCACCAAGTCATGAGGGAGACACTTGGTGTAAGAGAGGCAACCAAGCTGCCAACGGACACTTTGGAGCTTCCTTACAGGACGCCACATAGTTTAGCGCCAGGATCTAGGGGCGATCTTATAGACTGGGGGTCTTTTATCTAATCATTTCACTCTGAAAAAGACCCTACATCCACTACTGTACCTCATAAGTTATCATTTAACTAGCTTCTATGGTTTTGTTTAGCAGCATCTTGACCTTGGAGAGCAACGAGATTCAAAGTTAAGTGTCCCATGGACGGTTTACCAAGAGTTTTCTTTCAGCACCTACGAGGTTCCACTTGCTTTCAGTGCACCCCACTGAAGTCTCACTGATGTTCTACAATATAGAACTTTAGGGTCTTGAGTACTGGAATAGACGCAAAACAATTCTTTTATTGAAGATGATCTTGGTTCCACTTTTCGTCACATCCCAGCCCCCTTCAGCTCAGCCAGGGAGGTGAAGGAGCCTGTTGGTTTCGACGCATGACATGGGTGCCTAAAAGTGGGACCAAAGCAAAATGCTCTGGAAGGATTGTCTGGGAAACCCCAGGTACGGGGACAAATGCAATCTGAGCCTCCTTGGTGGCAATCATGGTCTTTAATTATGAAGTAACATTTCTGATTTGTTAGCAAGTGCCAGCTTGTAGATGCTGGGTGAAGTACGGAGCGAGCTGAGAGGGAAAAAGACCTTCATCTTTAGCTCTTGGGAGATCAGCTCCTCCCAGGATCGGTCAACCAGCTCTTCCTCCTCTTCACTTGGAACTCTTCAAGTTGCAGTTGATCGTTCCTCCATCCTAGACCCACGTGAGTGACAGGAAGGGAAAGGGTTGTCCTCCCTGGGTTAGGGCCTGGGAAAGCTCTGTCTCCATGTATGTTTTTCTTTCCTTCCTGCTTATTCTACAACTGCCTCCAACAGGGGACAGGGGTCTTGAAGAGAGATCGCTGGTCAAGAAGACAGGAGACGCCAAATCTGCTTTGGCACTGGTTTATGTCACGGGGTTCCCTCGAGGGTCCCTCTCAGGTCCTCCCTGTTTTGTCCAGTGGTGTAAGAATGGGTATCTGTGAAGACTGTGTGGGTGCCCCAGGACCCTGGCACTTTATGATGTCACCCAGCAAGGGCAGAGGTGAGAGGTCTTGTGACACAGAGAGGACTCAGGCCTTGTCCAGGGCCATGCGTAGCCTTTTCGCCATGATCTGGCTTTGAGGCACACCTGTCCCGGTGTCTAGCAGGGCACCTGGATTCACGCATGTCTTTGGGATGAAGGAAAGGAGAAGAGAGGAAGGGAGGGAGGCAGAGCGGAGTGGAGGGGCAAATCTCCCCTTTGGGGCACAGGGGGCTCCAAGTGGCTCTCTCCTGAGAGGAGCCCCAGTTGTCCCTCCCCGAATCCCTCCCCAGCACCCCAAGTCCTCTCAACAGAAAGGAGTTGCAGGTGGGAGCCTCTCCCCTAATCGCTGCCTAGCCCTAAGGAGCGATTAGGTCAGGCTTCAGTGTCACCAAGGGTGGCGAAGGTGGAGTAGTGCACCTCTGAGGATGAGGGAAAGCCCAGGGGGGCGAAGGCAGGCAGTGGAGGCCCCCGGAGCCGGGCCCCAAAGATCAACATGATTCTGAAGGTGATTGTCACGGGCAAGCAACAGGCGGCCGGCGCTGCTTAGGTGTCCTTGGGGCCGTCCTGGGCCTGGGCAGCAATGCTGCTGGACTGGAGCAGGAAGGCCGAGTAGGCCATGTCAGCTTCCTCCTTGGATGACTGAAGGGCGACAGCAGAGATGCTGGTGAGCTGGGGAGGGGATGTGTCATCCTGGCCTGAGCAAGGCCAGCCTGTGCGACCCCTGTCCTCCCTCCAGCTTTGTGCTCACCAAGAGGACTAACTGTGAGAAATGGAAAGTTGCAGCCTCTAAAAATACCTCCCTCTCTCTCACTACCTCCTTCTGACACATGGGGCAGAACCACCTCCGTGGCCTGGGCCTGTCCCCGGAAGTGGGGCCACACAGCCCCCGTGCAAGGTGGCCTAGAATGGCACCGGCCAGAGAGGTCTGCAGTTTTCCTTCCCCACCAGCTCCGAGAGGGCACTTCCAGCACTCCCCGGGCTGGTGGGGGACCCGGCTCCAAGGCCAGCTCCGTCTCCTGATCGGGCCAAATGGGGAGCCCAGTGCTGTGAGGAAAGCAGAGACCAGATGCCTCTGTGCCTTAGGGTCAGGGGCGAGGTGGCGCCCTCTCGGGGGCCCAGGCGTGAGGGGAGGGCGCGGCGGAGCCCACAGGTAGGCGTTGCCCCTGTGGATTCAGGCACCGGCACCTGGTGGGAGTGGGCAGGGCTTTCCAGTGGCTATCGAGGGGTCCACTGTGAGCAAATGTCTTCTGGGTCCAGCCAAGCACTCAAAGGAGGATGGGTCACCAGCCCCTGGGGAGTCCCTGGGTCCCACAGCCCCGGAAGCGCCTCCACCCAGTCCCCAGTGTTGCTGGGTGGACTCCCTTCTTCCTCCCTCTGTCTTCCTCAGCTCCTGGTTTCCCTCCCTCCTCCAAGTGCAGCTCCCCTCCTTCCGCACCCTCATCCGCATCAACTTTCCACAACCAGGGAGCCACCTCCCTCCCTCAGAAAGACGACCTCCCCCTCCCCTTCCTCCCCTCCCCCTCCCCCTCCCCCCGCACTGTTTCCGCCCTCTTCCCTGGTCTGGGCCAGCCCAACGCCGGGGTGATTTTCCCCCCAGTGTCTAACTGAAGCCCCTCTGCTGCAGTTCTGTCGCAGTCGGGCCTCCCTCCCTCTTCCCCTTACCCTTTTTGCCCTCTTGGGCTCTTCAGTGTCCGTGGTGCTCTCGGCGTTGGCCATGGCCTCTGCGTGGAGAGAGCGGTCGGTTTCCACCCTCCGTATTCTCGCCAGGGACGGGGTCAAAGCCTGTCCCACGGCCTGGGCACCAGACATACCGACTTTCCCTTCGAGCACTGTCTCCTGAGTGACTGAGGAGGCTCCCATGTTGTCATTGGCACCAAAATCTCTGGAGCTCTCGAAGTCCGACATGCTGATGTCTGTCCGGTAGCTTCTAATCGATATGCGGTCTGTTGAGAAGGAAGAAGACTTGGTGTGGGAACGGGCTGTACAGAGGGCCCCCGGGCATCTGCCCTCTCTGAGCAGGTCCTCTGCAGCCTGCAGCACAGCCGAAGGCTTGGGGGCCTCTCATGGGCACCCCCGACTCTGACGAGAGCTGCTGGAAAAGATCTCAGTCTCTTCTCAGGGGTGATCAAGACTTGAGGGTCCCTGGCCTTTGCCACTCAGTGCCCCATTTTGTTCTCATTCACCCCGTGGGACGTTATTATCATCCTGCCTGGAACTATGAGGGAATGGAGGAATGAAATGGGGACGTTTCATGCCAAAGTCACGCATCCTGGTAGTGATCCAGGAGGTCAAAGCCCGGGTCTCCCTGCATCCCGGTCTCCTGGCAGCCTTGCGGTGAACTTAGCCCCAAGCAATGGAAGACGGCCTCCCACGGGCAGAGTCTGGGAGCAGTACTTTGTTAGTTTGGGGGGCATGGGGGCACCTCCTAACCCCCATTCCCCAGCCTCTGCCTCCTCAGAATCCCCACGCGAGCCTGTGGAAAGGAGATGTGGTGGCCTCCTCTCCAGGCATCTGTGCTGGGGCTCGGGGCTCAGGGCTCAGGGAGGGAGGAGGCAGGGGAGCTTCTGGGGACTCACCCACATTCTTCCGGTGCCGGGCTCTGGCCACCCATACAGCCACGGTCCCTAGCGCCAGCACCAGGCCCAGGGGTACCAGGGTGGAGAGCAGAACTTTGGAGCTCCTGCTTTGTCCCTGAGAGCTGAAAGGAGGATTACATCAGTCCATCACAGGGAAGGGGAGTCGAGGGCTCCAGGCTGCACTGGCAAATCAACTCCAGCTAGTGGCCCTCCCTCACCCGCCTGACAGAGGCATGCTCTTTTAAGAAGTCTCCAGGCCCAGCAAGGCAAGAATGGGGCTGTTTCTGCACCCCAGCCCTGGGAGATGGAGCTAAAGTGTAAACCCTGTCCCAGCCATGGAAGGAGGACTGAGGGTGTCAGGGACCCCCCAAAGCACAAGCAGAGGCAGGGATGGCTGCCCCCACTGAAGACACAGGCAGGCTCTGCTCTTTGGACCCAGTGGTCCAGACTCAGTTGCTTGGTTGACCTCTGAGGTGTGAAGCCCCGGATCTCTCCTCACCTGCTGTCATCTACGGATGCTCTGCTCCCACTGGCTTGGTTTCCTGAATCCTCCACCACTCTTTCCTCTGCAAAAAGCCTGGGGTTCGGAACGGCTTTGTTCTCAATGACCTCGTTCTCAACCTCCCTGCCACGGGGCTTTACCACCTCCTCCTCAGGAGCACTGTTTGCAATCACTGGGTTGACTGGATTGGGGACTCCAGACCCTGGAGCAGAGAAGAGCCAGTGCTGGGTTACAGTCTGATCTTCAGGTTCTTACTCTTGGAGGTTAGGAGGTCTGAGCGATGAGACTTCAGGGATCACGGGGCTGGGGTTAGAGTCAGGGCTTTTGGGGTGGGCTCTCGGACGACACTGGAGACAGAGGAGCCAGGGCGTTCCCTAGCTTGCCACAGGTTATCTGTGCCCCAGTGCTGCCAAGTTTACCTCCATGTTCAAGGCTGGGTGCTGAAGCTCTAGCTGTGAACAGGGACAGAGACTGAAACCCTCCTCCAGGCCTGCTGTCCACAGGGCTGAGCAGGATGGTGCTGCCACCTGGTGGCGGCTTGGCAATGCCCCCTCAGTGCACCAGACCCAGGGGACCTGGACCCCATCTGGACTTCCGGGCGACTAAAAACACCTAAGAGATTTCATGTGGCATTTTAAAAAGTGGTTGGAAATGCAAATTAAGGTTGCCTTAAATTTTTTTCTTTTTGGTGCTGGGGATTGAACCTAGGGCTCCACACCTGCTAAGCACATGCTTCAACCCTGAGCTGCACCCCCAGCTCCATGCCTTAATTTTTTGGATCAGACCTTGTGAATAAGGCATCAGATCCTCTTCTGAGAGCAGGTTTGGGTACAGTGAGGGAGGATGAATATGTTGCATAGAATAGTGAGTCTGAAATTTCTGTACATAGAAGCAGCATTTGGATCTAGAAGGGTTTCCATCTGGTGTGAAGGGACAGCTGTGAGATTTGTCTTCATGGTGTGGTTAGCTAGCAAACCCACCAGTTTCCCTTCACTCTCTGGCCCCAGCTTCCTACAGCCAAACCTAGGGACCCTGAGATTGAGAAGGTGTTAAGCAAAGGCCTTCAGGGTGCCATGGGACGTGGGTTTCGAGACTCACCCCTTGCTGCCTCCTCCACTGCCACATAGACAGCCACGGTCTCTCCGAAGGTTTGGTTCTGCTTCACACCACACCAGTACCAGCCCTCATCCGCCTTGGTGACTGACTGAAGGGTCAGGGAGACTTTCTGATTGTTCTGGTCGCAGCCCACGATGGCCTGGCTGGGACCTTCATCTTGGCTGGGCAGGGCCCGGCAACCCTGGTTGCTCCACTTACACCAGTATTTTTTGTAGGCATAGAATTTGCACGGGTAGTGGCAGTCGAGCTTGAGGGTCTGTCCCAACACAACAGTTGTGTTCTTTGGTACCTTGAGGCTTGGTTCTCCTGCAGTAAGGAGGGAGGAAGAAACAGGTCACACTGGTTAAAAGGTGGCCCTTGGAGATGCTGCATGAAGTGACCATGGTGGTAACTTCTGTGTGTATTTCCCGTTTGGATAACACTGTAAATAAACGCATTATGCTGAATGCACATGGAATGGAGTGATGTGCTAATGTAGTGATGGTCCAGTGTTTCTCAGAGAACACAGATCCTGGCCGGATGACTGCAGTATGCTTTCCTTACTCTTCCTTTTCCTCTAGGCTCACTCCCAGAGCCGCCTCCAGCACTCTGCTTCAGGCTCCCTGCCCACACAAGGGAGGCTGCTGTTCCTCACATTAGGAGCTGCCACATGCGGTAACTGGAAGACCAGAGGGGTCTGTCACAGGCACGAAAACGTGGCCTCTAGACAGGTCGGGCTCTCTCTTGGGGACTGCCCCCATCTGTGCTTCAGCGTGGATGTGGGCAAGGTGGGGGACTGGCTGGGGTGGAGCTGCCTATGGGCATGGCCTTGGGGCTTCCTCCCTCCTGCCCGGGTCAGCTCATACCGTCTACAACCTTGAGCTCCACCATGGTCCTCCAGCGGGTGTCACCATTGGTGAGGCACCAGTAGAAGCCAGCGTCCTGGGTGGTGAGCTGGTTGAGGATGACCGTGTAGAAGCCATTGCCTGGCTCCTCGTAGAGAGCCAGCCTGCCCTCGAACTCCTCCTGGACCAGCCCCTGGCTCTCCACCAGCAGTGGGCAGCGGCCATTCTTCTCCCCTTTCCAGAGACACCAGTACTTGAAGCTCTGGCTCTCCTTGGGGTCGTAGGGGCAGAGCACAGCCACAGAGCCGCCTGTCACGCCCTTCACCAAGCTGGGGGTCTGGGGGATTGGGGTCTCTGGAAGACAGACAGAGACAGCATGAAAGGGATGCAAGGCAGGGAGGCCTTGCATGGCTTGAGCAGGTGGTCTCAGCCAGGGAGGAAGGTGAAGTATAGACGAAACAGCTGCCCCTCTGCCTCCCTGAGTCACACAGCCTACCGCTGGGGCCACTGGGAGCAGACTCCAGTGCCCTTCGTCACCAGAAGGCATACACCAGTACACATACACCACTACGTATACACCAGTATGCGTACACCAGTACAGATACACCAGTACATATACACCAGTACGCATACACCAGTACACACACACCACTATGTGTACACCAGTACTCGTATACCAGTACACACACACCACTATGTATACACCAGTACACACACACCACTATGTATACACCAGTACGCGTACACCAGTACACAAACACCACTATGTATACACCAGTATGCGTACACCAGTACATGTACACCAGTACGCATTACACCAGTACATATACAGTTCTGAGCAGAGAATGGAGTGAATTTAGGGAGAGAATATCAGGCCTTTCCTTTGGCTTCTTACAAAACATAAATCTGTGTGTGTGTGTGTGTATGTCTTAGCTTATCCTACAAAAATGTCCTGACGGACCATTTGTACATTAATAAAAAACTTTTGATGGGCATGATTTAACACATAAATAGTACAGTGTTGCTGCTAATCAAAGGCCCCAAGAAGCATCTCAGAGAAGGGCAGCTACTTCTCCGAGCAGCCAATGCTGAGACCCAGAGAGACCGAGTGGCTGTAGATGGGGAGCGATCTGGAGCCAGAAGTGGAAGCGCAGAGCCCATGAAGAGCTGAACAAGGACACAAGCACTGGTCTGCTGCTTCTCGTGGGCGTAGCTATGCGGGTGAGAAGCAGCAGATTTTCCATGGTTTCACTATGTCGATGCTTCTCCAAAGTACAGCTGAGTGGGCCGGTTGTGCTGCACAAGAAGGAAGCTGCAGGGATGTGGAGGTGGGAAACTGGAGGCCGGGCCCCGCCTTTCAGGGATGCTATGTGAGGACGGGGTGTCCACCTGCTCAGGGCTCCGGCCCAGGGGAGGGCACAGAATCCCAGGCAGGCTCGAGTCCTGCCTTCGGAGCTCAGCTCTCCTCGCTCCTGTGAACCAAAGATGGCCGTCCAAAGGCAGGGCGGGTGGTCAGGGCCTAGCACCAGGCAGAGGCTGCTCTGCTGCCCTGTAGCCTCCGGGTCAGGCCCCCCGATCAGGCCCCGGGGAAGGGCCTGCTGCTGACTGAGGCGTGAGTCCTGCGGCCTCCCACCAGCCAGCCAGCCCCTCCCCTCCCCTCCCTCCTGCCTCAGGGTCTCACCCTGATTGACGAAGAGCTGCCAGGCCTGGAGGGGCCAGCCTTCCTGCGGCACTCCGTCCGGGTGGGCACCACACAGGTACTCCCCCTCATCCCCCGTCTGCAGGCCTGTGATCAGCACACTGAAGTGGCCGTCACTGGGGTCCCTGGGGGTGAGCAGGATCCTGCCCTCAAAGGCCGGGTCCCTCTTCCCCAAGGTGTTGATGATCACATCGCAGGATTTATCCTTGTTCACCCGGCACAGGAATTTTTGTACATTCGCCATCTCAGGGCCCAGGGCGCAGTCCAAGGTCACCGAGCCTCTCAGTTGTCCGTACACCAGCTCAGGCTCAGGCTCTAGCACCTGCAGATGGATATTCTTCGTGTCCCCGCTGGGATCTTCCCCAGCTTGGCAGACGTACATCCCCGCGTCTCTGTTTCTCAGCTGGTTGATGACGACGCTGAACACTTCTTGGTCGGTGCCCTGAATAACTAAGCGCACTCTGCCAGCAAAGCTGGGGTTCTCATTCTTATCTGAGTCGATGACTAACTCGCAGGACTGGCCTGTCTTCTTGCACAAGGACTTCTTTTTCCCACCATTCTCACTTCTGAAAGGGCATGTGATGGTCACTGTCCTGCCCAAGTCCATGGTGTAGACCTCAGTGTTATTCAGGAGCCGGGGATCTGCAGGACAAGAGGAGGGAGCTGTGATTTCTCTGTCTTCCAGTGAGATCAGAGACTCCAGTTTGCCCCACTAGGGGACTGGGTGGGCTACAAATGCCTCACTGCCAAGAGGGACACTGTCGGAAGATGCCTGCTGATACTCAGAAAACAGTACCCCAAAAGTGGAGGCCTTAGACGTAGCCCCAGAAGCAAAGCTGCTCTCTGATCTTCAGCCCTCCTTTCTAAAAATATTACTCGAACTTGCCCCTGTCCTTCTATGTAAGAAGAGCTTGCCATAAGAGGCTTCTCTGACCCACACCATGTGTCCTGAGACCCTCAATCCCAAGGCATCCTGCCTCGTACCTGGGAGGAAGAAATGCTACAACTGAGGAGCCAAGAAGGCTCTAAACAGACAGCCCTGCTGGTTTCCTGCTGGGTCACTGCTCTTAGCTCAGGCCATTTGGCCCTATTGTGCTCTTCGGGGCCAGTCTTGGTTCACGGAGCCTCAGCATAATCAGAAGGCTTCCCCTGTGTCTTTGGAACAGCATCCTGAAGGCTTGGTCTGCGTGAAACTCGGCTTGAGTGACTCTGTTCTGTACTCTCTTGCTGAGCTGACTTTTGTTGTACAGGTCATGGCCCTCATGGTGGGTGAGGGTGGGAGTGACACCTTCCCTCCACCTCCCAGGGTTCAACCTGAGTGCTGATTCCTCTACGAAGCCTTCCTCCAGCTACACTGGCCTCTGCCTCCTCGGCACTCTTCTGCTTACGTCTGTGTCACTCGCTGCATCCAATCCAGGGTAAATTAATGCTGACCTTCCCAGCCTGGAGGGCAGAGATACATTATTCTCACATGTGACTCTCCTGCTGTGTGCAGCACAGTGCTCAGCCTGGGAGGATCCTGAACTCCTGTGCGTGGAAGTGAACGGGAGTGGAGGTACAGGGTGGGGGGTTTCAGGGCATTGCAAGAGACTTTTCTAAAAATCCCAGAGTCCAGACGTGGAACGGGCTGCCTTTGGAGGTAGTGGTTAGTGCTTTTGGAAGTGTCTGCTCAGAGCTGTGCCCCATCATCACAGTTTTCTAGGAACACAGAGAGCGTGGACTCTGAGTGTTTCCTGGCTCGTAAGAGTCTGTGGGGGTTCTGAGTCTCCATCATCATCAGAACCACCTGTTTATTTAGTGCGCAGATAATAGCACACCTATCCCAAAGGAGCAAGACATATCTTGAAGCGTTCCTGCGATTTCCTCCCTTAAGATTTCTAAGTGGCCATGACTCTCTAAAGTGCTCTCCTTGTTGAACTCTTGTCAGAAAGAGTCTTTCCTTCTGTACCTTTCTTCAATCAGAACAGGCTTGCTCCCTGCCTGTCTCTCCAGGGTCCTGCTCACTGGCCAGGAAGCATGACTAATTGACGCTGATAGTTTTGATGGACTGACTAATGGATCCCATTTTTATCGTCGTCCTTGTTTTTGGAGTACTGAGGATTGAATCCAGAGCCTCACACTGAGCTACATCCTAGTCCTTTTCTATTTTTTATTTTGTGATGTGATCTCACTAAGTTGCTAAGCTGCCCAGGCTGGGATCAAACCTGTGATCCTCCTGCTTCAGCCTCCCCGAGTGCTGGGATTACAGGTGTGTAGCAGCATTCCTGGCTTACTGGATCCCGTTTTTTAAAACTTCCAAAGAACTGGCAGTACACGACTTTAATCTCAAGGGTGTATTTGTAGCTGGACTCTAAGGATCCCGATAAATCTTTCCGTGCCTTTCCTATCTCCTTAAACTGTAGACCTCTCGTCCAACTTCCAACAAACACAAGGAGAAAAGCTGTCCTAAGCTAGGGCCTCAGCAAAGCCCTAAAATGATACCGACCCGGAAGACCAAGAGAGGTTCACTCACTGGGCCCAGATAAGCTGCCTCCTTCCTGTGCCCTGTTACGAAAAGTCTTTGCTCGGGAGAAAGCGCCTCTGACTCCACGCCAGGATGCCCTTCGCATGAGGAATCTTTCCTCCAAGCCTGCCTCCCCACCCACCTGACCGATTCCCACTTACTGGTCCAGAGGCCGCAGGGGCCTGGATGCTTACCCTTGACGACCTCCAGGCCCACGTCGAAGTTGAGGCCTCGGGTGTTGATGCCCAGGCCACACTTGTAGTGCCCAGAGTCTTCCCGGCTGACGGGGCTGATGTTCACCTCGAAGGCGCCGATTTCTGGGAAGTTGGTGAGGTTGGATCTGCCCACATAGTCCTTGGAGATGTAGCCTCCCGAGGAGATGAGGGTTATGCAGCTGCCGCTGGCTCCCTGCCGGCACCAGTACTTCCGAGTGTGCCTGTTGACTGAGGTGGCTGGGTAGTAGCACTTAATGGACACTGAGCTACCTTCCACAGCGTTCACTTCCTCGGGGCCAAATACGGGGCTTTTCGTGGAGACCACTGTGGAAAGAAAGGGCAGAGGCTCCCTGAGCCCCGGAGAGGCAGCTTCCCCGGAGGCGGAGGCGGCCAGACCACCCCCCACAGAGGTGCAACTTTTCTACCCAGCTCCCGTGCACTCTGTGTTTGTTTACCATCTACTACAGCCAGACAATTGCTGTATGAGTCAAAAGCTTCCTTAATCATTATTTGTTTCTTATTGTAATTCATTGATGAGAATCTTTTTGAGGACAATGGATGACAACTATGATATCCTTGGTGTTTTAAACAATTCATCACTTTTGTAGATACTTAGCATTTCTCTGCAGCTGATTTCTTTTTTCCAGATAAAAATATTAAAAGCCAAGAAGAATAACTGATTTCCTCCAAATGCACTAGTCACTCCTGAAGATGCTTGGTTTGAGGTGAACTTCTCTTTTATCTCCGGAAAAGACTGACCCCTGGTCTTGAAATTAGAGATTGCCATTCCTACTCCCCGAGTTCGCAGGGCCTGGCGACCCGTTTGCAGACGTGACTTTCTGCATTGCCTCTGCACGACTAGCTCCCTTTTAAAGGAGTGCCGATTTGAGCGGAGCACCTTAGGGATGAGTCTGACTTCAGTGCCCCTGGGTACCTGGGACCTGGAGGGCATGGGGCAAGGTGAGCAGCCCCCGGGGAGCTGGGACTGGTGACATACCTGGGAAGACGGCCAGCAGGGACACGAGCAAGGAGAGCATCATTGGTGGTGGCTCCCTGGGCCTGTGCTGGCCAGGCCGACTCCTCGGTTGAGATGCTGAAAGACAATACCAGGAGGTAAAGATCCCTCGCCTTTGAGGACTAGTTGGGCCGAGAGTTTCTACAGCGCCTACTTGGCTTTCGATCTCCAGCAACTGACCGGAGTCCCATAGAGTGAATGAATGAATGAATGAATGGATCCTCCTCTCCCCTTACAATGCAGAGCCCACCATCCTGCAGAGCTTGTTTCTCCGTAGTTGTAAGGGGCTTCTGTGTCTCTGTTCAGGAGACGCAGTAGCAGGCACACCGTAAGACAGCACGAATGGTCTCGCCGGATGATTGGTTACACCAATAAGTGGGCCCCATCTTCCTGTTCGGGTGGCCCTGCAACGTCCCTGGCAGATGGAAGAGGCTGGCATATTTTTTGGTGTGTTCAAATCAGTAAACTGAGAACCTTAGAGTAGATCTAATCATTATTAAGGTTGTAAATACAGTGACCAAGGTCATTGCCATCACTGATTATTGTTCACCATGCCCCCGGCACCATGGTGCATAAATTATATGTGTTATCGCATTTAAAGTTGATATCAAACCTATAAATTGGGCACTCTTATCCACACTTTACCTCACAGAAAAATGAAAGCTTAAAGGTTGAATACTTTCTTTGACATCACCAGAGAGAGGCGAGGTGGAGTATCTGAACCCCAGCTTTGCCTGGTTCCAGAATCCATTCTTCCAACCTGTCCACCTGCATTGCACCCACTGATAGGATGTTTGTACTGGATACTGACTCTTGTGGTTTGTAGAACCCCATTTTTGATGCTATTCATTTGAACTTTATAACCTCCCTTGAAATGAGACAGACGTGTATAATCATAACCATCTCACAGGTAAGAAAATTGAGATCCTGAGATGCCGGATGATGCCCAAGATCTCCCAGTGAGCTCGATATAGGCTCAGAGTTGAAAACACAGATGCTTTGGTCTCTGTAACCCTGCCTGGTGAGGCCTGGCAGGAAAAGATGGAGAATCCGAGGCAGCCGATGTGGACTCTGTCACCGCTGTGAACCATGCCTGCCTGCAGCTGTCTTCCCACCCAAAAGACAGCTCAGGGGAGAAGGGAGTAAAAAGGGATCTCCTCTGCCCAGGGACTCTGACAGACTTTCAACTTTGGAGTGGATCGGACAAAGAGTTAAAGGAAGAGCGATGGTAATAAACCTCGGTGGTAGAGAGCACCCATTAAGATAAGGAAGATGGACAGGACCAGAAGGAGCCCAGGAGTTCTCCCCCTGCCTTGGTCCCAGCACCTGTGCCCAACGACTTCCTTTACCAACTCGAGCCAAAGGCAATAGAGTTGTTTATCTTGGTTGTTGCTTTTCCGTAGGGGAATTTCCCAGCCAGGAACCCTTTTATTTCCTGGTGCAGATAAAGATAATCTGTTTCTCCAGTTCTTTGGAAGAGTTAAGGGCAGGCTGAGGACTGATGGAAGTCAGGTGCCACTTGAGGCTATCTTAATTGTGGTTTCTTGACCCAGACTGGTCTCACCAGGCCAGAGACAAACCCCTGCCATGGCACCTTCAGCAAATGCCAGACTCAGCCCCAGTGTGGAAGTGCTCAGGGCCCTCTGGCTGGAGGCACAGCTGAGCAGGGGAAGCTCCCAGGCAGGAGCAGCTAAAACCTGTCCTTTCTGTGTCATTTGCGAAGCTGTGGGGACCACACTTGACATTTGCGCTGAGTGCAGTCCTGGGTGGGAAGGCCAAATGCCATGCGCTCGCTTTCAAGAGCCCAACCCAGTGACTATTCTGGATTCTCCTTCCTGTTCTCAGTTCTCAATGAGCAGCAAGATTCTTAGTATTTCCTGAGACCAGAGAGGTTCTTTCCATGGGCTGAGTGGGGGTTGCAGCCCTTCCTCTAGATTGGTAAAGTGAGTGACTTGCGCCGTGTTATAGAGTTCCACGTGGGAGACCTGACTTCCAGCCCAGGCTTCCTCTCCATTTGGGAAGTTTGGGTGGCTGGGAGTGTCCCCGTGGAAGGCAGAGTTCTGTGGGCCCATCACCCGCTGCACAGGGCGAGAGCATCCAGCATGCGTAGCTGGGAAGGCAAACCTGGCAGAAAATGACCCTGGCAAGGAAACAGAGCACAGTGGCAGGGAGGACGCTGGGCCAGAGAGGCACCCAGTGCTCTGGAGAACAGGAACTCTTTCTTGGCCCATGGTAAAGTTTAGAAAAGTTCCGTGGTAGCAGCTCAAAAGACCCTGTGCCTTTACAATCAGTAGGGACCCCTTCATCTCAGGTGGACTTTCTCCCCAACTCAGGAGAGTCAGGACTCGGGGAAGCTGCAGTTGTAGGGGGGATGAAGCTGGATTTAAAGGATTTGCTTAAGAAAAGAAAGAGCGAAGCACTTACTGGACACCTACTGTGTACCATGTGGTAATAAGCCCTGGGCAGCCCGGGTTCCTCTTTTATCTGACCCAGGTAGATTTTATTGTTTTCATATTGCAGATGGACAGCTAAGGCTAGAGCGATTCTTGACCCCAAGACCCATGGCAGAAATGGAATTTAGGATCACAATCTTGTTATTATTCTTGAATGGATAAAGGGCTCTGTTCTGTTGGCTTAAATGTAGATCATGTTTTAGGACATTTTCTGGTCCTAAGATCGGAGATAGTCGTTTTAGGTCACTGTTAGTTTGCTGTGTGGGGACCTGATATGCTCATGACGTGTGTCCCGCAGCTGTGGATCAGGAATGACCATGGGCTGTGATGGAGGCCAGGATGTCTCCTCATAAAATGAGCTTAGTCAGCCCCATTCGGGTGCAGTGCAGTGTGTGCTACTCAGCTCTCGTGGCCTGGAGTTTGAGCCTTTGCCTGTCTTGTCCCATGTGTCTCCTTGCTCAGGGCAGAAGGTTTGCTTGGGCCTGGGCCCTTGCTGGGCATCTGGAGAGCCACTTGTCCTTGTAACCTCAGAGATCTGAGATCCTAATCTTCTTCATGGCAGGAGAAAGTCACCTGGCCTTCTCACAGCCCCAGGGGCTGCAGGGGGAACAGACAGAGCATGCCATGAGAAGGCGGAAGCCAGCCGGCAGATTCTCACAGCCTGGGAGGGCAGACCAGGGAGCAGGAAGCTCTGGAGTTCAGAGGATCGCAGACTGGCTGGCCTGGCCGGGAGCAGGGATTTTCTTCACCTGGACAAAACAGCGCTTTGCCCTGCTTCCAGGAGAGGCACTGTTTGGGCCCACCTGGGACTGTCACTCTCTCCCATGGGTACAGGGGCCCAGTGCAGACCAGACAGAGCCTGGCCAGAGCTGCAGAAGAGGAGCTTTGAGGACAGAAGCGAACCCAGGCGTCCAGGCTCCTTCTCTCCCACGGGCTACAAGCAGAGTTCTACCACGTGGGCAAAATATGCTCTCTCACCCACTCATCTGTAAAATGGGATAAGAGTCCCTGCCTGACAATTCCTGCTTGAAGGGCTAGAGGCCTGGGGATGAGAGAATGTGAGGGAGGATGGTGGAATAATATCCAGGGAAGCACTTTAAATAATATCAAGGGCTCCTCCTGGCTGTGATTTGGAGCAGGATGAATTCTCTTTTTTATTTTGGTACCAGGGATCGAATTTGGGACCTTGCGCTTTCGAGGCAGGCAGCGGAACCACTGAGCTACATCCCGGCCCTGGAGCAGGCTAAATTCTGAGCCTCCATCCCCTGATCTGTGAGCTGTGACAAATGTACCATGTGCAAGAGTTCTTTGAAGCATAAAAACTAATACATGGTCTTCCGCATGTCTAAAATCAACGCGGTCTTCCCTTTCTCCCTGCCACAGCCTGCGAGGAGAGGAGGCTACTTGCTGGGCACCCCGTCAAGCCTGGAAGTGAGGGCTGCAGGTTGGGCCATGATGCCCAAAAGAGGCGTTTAGGCCCAGCGGGCCAGGTCTGAAGAGCGCACACTGAGCTCTTCCCAGCGATCTGCATGTCCATCTTCACAGACACACAAGGAGGTAGGATGGTGTGGCAGCCCCATTTCACAGATGACACAGTAGCGGCACATGAGCTAAGAAGCTTACCCGGGGTCACGTAGCTGCTAATGACTGCGACAACGGGAATCTGGATCAAAGGCGCAGGCTCTTAGCCTCTGGGCCGGACCGCGGAGGGGCTGAGCTTGGCAAGGAAGCAGTGGGGACAGGAAGCAGCGGGATGTCCGAGGCTAGAGCAGAGGATTAGTTCCGTTCTCTTCTTCTGGGAAGACACATCTGTACCCAGAAGTAGGTGCCGGGAGACAAATCTCTCCCAGGAATCTATTCGCTGCTATTCAGTCAGGATCTAGCAGGTGTATGTATGTTATGTTTGTCTCTTGTAGCTGGGCCCATGGAGACCAACGCTTCCCTCACATGGTGTCAGTGCTTAGGACTCTGAGACCAGGGCCCAGGTTCACACAGACTGAGATGTAGGCGGACACACACATGAGCAGTGCAGGTTGAGCATTCCTTCTCCAGATACTTGGGACCAAGATTGTTTCGGATTTGAGATTTTAAAAGCATTTTTGGAATATTTGCATCTATCCAATGGGATATATCTTGGGGGTGGGACCCAAGTCTAAAATGCAAGTCACCTGCATTTTATAGGCACCTTATGCGTATAAGCTGAGGGTGATTTTATGCAATGCTTTTTGCACACCATACTTTGACCGAGGCCTGTCACACAAGGTCAGGTAGAGAACTTTCCACTTGTGTCAAGCTGGTGCCCAAAAAGTTTTTGGCTTGGAGGCATTTCAGGTTTCAGTTCAGGGATGCTCAAACTCTAAATTTTTTTATGATAGTTTGTTTTTTAGGTGATACTGAAATGACCTCGCAGCCACATTAGAATGACTGTCCAAATGCGTCACTGAGTGTCATTTGTACCTGCTAGGTGGCTTTGCAGCACTCACACAGACTCATGGAGTCTCAGATTCCTTGACTATGAGGTAGAATCATGATACCAATGCTGCCCGTCCCCCAGGGAGGTGCCAAGAGAGCGAGATCTCCCTAAAAACATTAGCTGTATTTTCTTAGCATCCACCATGTGTAGTTTGTGTTGCTTCCTGGAAGGGGCTGCACTGATTACCAAAGCTGCTTCTCCTGCATCACACTGTGTGGGTGGGAAGTGGAGGCTGCAGAAGCCCGGGGTACCAGGGTTTACTAAATCTAATCCGATACCATCGTGCTTTGTATAAACCAAGACCAGAAGACGCTGAGAGACAAACAACAGTCACAGAGCAAGCTGCTCTCCTGCCTCCTGAGTCAGTCTTTCCGCTCCTCACCTCAGCAGGGCCAGGGAGAAGCAGGACAGAGAGTTCCAGATATGGCTCCGGGCTGACCCTCTGCTCCCAGCCACCCAATAGCTGCCTCTGCTCCAAGCCCAGACATGGCGCATCCACTTTCTGGGTGTTAACTGAGCTGTCATTCTCCCAGTGATGGGGACAGCTAACGAAAAACTGTCCTACAACACAGGAGCAGCCTGAGGGGCCCCTGGAGCTGGGGGTGGGATGGAGCTTGACCAGCTGCTGCCATTGTTCTACAGGTGCCACAGCTGGCTGGGGTAACATCAGGACAGCTCAAGGGAGGGACGGTCGTGTCAGAGCCAGGGAGCTGCTCAGAACTTGGGGTGGCTGAGCCCACCTTACCCTGTTCCTCTGTGAGGACCTCATTTTCCCCACAAAGAGGGAGGACAGGATAACACTGTGCCACACACTTGTGTTTCAGATGGTGCTGGGTGGAAACTAGAAAGGATTTCAGAGACACTTAGAAGCCCAGAAAAAAGGATTGAAGGTGGCCTCCCAAAAAACTGGAGATGGAAAACTTCAGAGACCAGCAAGGCTCACTTTGTCCCCGCACTTTCTATGCAGCCTCTGAATCCAGGACTGTGACGTGCTCTGTGAATCCCCGAGTAATTGAACTACACTGAAAAACAGCAAATAATCGCTATTTTGTTCTAGAGGTCACAAAGCTACTTCACACATACTTTCTCATTTGAGCACACATCAACCTAGAGTGGAAGGTACTGTTACAGATTGAAGAAACTGAGTCTCCGAGAGACTAGGTGACTTGCCTGAGGTCACACAATTCATCCACCCCAGAGAAGTAAGGGGAGTTGGAGACCAAGCTCAACGGGAAAGCGTCGTGCTGACCACAGTCGTTTCCTCTCCTCCGCTGATATTTCGCAGACAAGGCCGCACCCCCCCCCCACACACACCGCCGGCAGCCTGCTGCCCCGTGCCCTCACCCTCTCCTGCCGGCCCGAGAGCTGGAGATGTGGGGTTGCCATCCCAGAGAGCATCCTGACCAGGGAGCCCAGGCAGCCACACTTACTTTTAGCTACTTCCTTTCTCCCACTGCTCCAGGACCAGGGTGCAGCCTTCCGGCCAGTCCGTAATTCCTGCCTCTCTAGGAGCTGCCAGCAGGGCACTGGATTCTGCTGCCAAAACTGAAACTGTGCTCAGGGACTGACCCACACCTGGGCTCTTAAAGGGCCACTTTCCCATAGGGCCAGCAGCCAGCAGGGCACGTGACTCTCAGATCTCTTGCTTTCCTTTCACTTCAGCTCAACTGTCTGCCTCCATTTGCTCTCCCCTGACCTTGGGGCAAGCTCTGCGACTTGGGAATCCTCCATCACTATAGCTGCAGAATGTGCGACAGCCTCTAACATGAAGATCCTGCTCTGTCACTTTCTAGCTGCAAGATCTTAGGCAAGTCGCCTTGATATTCCTTTCGGACTGGAAAATAGGGACAGTGACACCACACCTACAGGTAGAGGACATAGACATTAGATTGTGTAAAACGCCTGGCCTAAGGGAGGGCGTGGAGCTGACACTCGCTTGCCCACACAGTCCGCCGAGCCTCTTCTAGCCCTTGGTCCTCACACCTCCGGCCGAGAGGGCACACGCTCTTCCCCCAGCTCCCTGGGATGCGTAACCTGGACCAAGACGCCCCCTACTCACCCTCTGCAAGGCCCCGTTACCAGCCCTGCAGGCAGAGCTCCCAGAGCAGGAGCCCAGGAGGCCATGGTTCTTCCCTTCCCTCTCCTTGCCTGCTCCGGGCTCCCCCAAGGCTGGGCTGTCCCGAGTCTCAGCCCCACATGGCAGAGGCGCTGGCTTGCCGGGTGGAGGGGCAGCTTCCTTCCCTGCCACAGTCAGTCCTCAACAGTTTCCCAGGGCATGAGGTGTCCGGGTCTCCCCAGGTGACTGTAGCTGTCCCGTGTCGCACAAGTGGATTCCATTCCCCCAAACAGCAGCACAGCCCCTACCCCTCACCCACTCCCACACGCAGAAGTCCTGCCCTCTCCTACCTGTGTGCGAGTGAGCCGGCTCTCCCTGCAGAGCCCTACAGGCCAAACCCCAGACAGGGAAGGAGAAAAGGAGAAACAGGGCTGGAGAAATACAGGGAAGTCAGAGGCCTGAGTCTTATTTTAGCTAACCACTCACTCATTAGTGCACATTAACCCATGATCACAGATGACAATAGCAAAGAAAGGAAACCGTATTTTCTACTATGGAGCTTAATTTCAGGCCAATGTTCCATAGTCACTCCCAAGGAACCGGGTTTAATTCATTGATACCTTGGTCATTTCATTCCAGATTAAAAGTCAGTATTATTCTGGGTTTCTTTTGATTTGTCCTTTCTCTCCTCTGGGGTGGCCTGTGGTCACGTGGGACAGTGAGAAGAGGGACTGGCCCATTGTTTCAGTCCTTTATCTCCGTAATGGCCTTGTGCTCTGGGAGGACATGGTTCCCTCAACCAAGATGTAACTTGTCCTGCCTGGTCAGCGGGTCTTTATTGCTCTTCATCCTGAGAGTTTGTGGTCCAATCTGTGTCCCCCTTGTCCTATTGCTCAGCCCCTTTGGCAGGACTGCCAGACCCCTCAGCTCCTACTCGGCTGCTTGTACCTGAACTGTATCCTTCTGGGGCCTCTGGAAGATCCCCAGCAGCAGAGCTGAGTACCCCCCAAAATGCTTGCCTTCTGTGGCCATATACCTGGGGTGCAATGAGTATTGGTAAGACTGCAGGCCACCCAGGTTCTGTGTAGGACAGGCAAGGTGCAATCCCCCACTGGCTCTGGGATTCTCGAATCCACCTGGATATCTACCATTGTTAGTCCTCTCCTGTGCACTGTAGCCTGGGCTCAGCCCCATGGTGGAGGGTGGGAGGCCACAGAGTATCAGTAACTGAGCTCCCTTCCTCTTTAGCAATTTTCTTCCTCCCTCTTCCAATGTAAATATCCAGTGAGGGGCATAAGAGGAGACAGAGCTGTGCACAGATAGTGGGGGCCAAGCCTGCTTCTGCCAGGTACCAGCTCCTTCCAAAAGTTTCCTTACACGTCTGTCCATCTGAACGCAATAGTCAAGATATTTGCAGAGTATGTGTTCTTATTTGGCAGTGATCCACTTCCCCTGAAGCAGGGAGTAACTTGGGTCTTGTCTGGTCTGCAGGAAGGGTCAGGAGGCCACTGAATATGAGCATGAACACTCGAGGAGCAAAGGCCCATGGGAAGGGCGAGGGACGTCCATCAAACCACGACTCCTTGCACTGCCTGGAGGTGCAACCAGCTCTCTTTCTCAGCTCCATCCTCCCACAGCAGTGGGTAGCGTGCTCGATCATGTCCTGGTGCATGTTCCCAGTGGCCTCCAGGCTGCATTAGAGGACCGTGTCACACACCTATGTCGCATGCAGCCACACACGCCCCACATACCCGACAGACCCGCGGCCCACCGACCTCATGGGCCCAGATCAGAGAAAGGGGAAAGTGAAAAGTAGAACATGGTGGGGAATCAGGAAATCAAAATCCTGTGACCTATTTAGGGCTTCGCCACACTCTAGTAGTACGATTGGTGTCAGCAGCTTCCCTCTCACACTGTGGTTTGCCCATTTGGAACTCAGGGCCCCTGTGACTGATCTTGGGGGAGAAGGCACTGGGCAAGAGGGTCCAGGTGCCCAGCTCCATGACATCAACAGCAGTGGTTATCTTGCCATCACTTCATCTGCTTAAGCCACCCTCCTTTTATAAAGTAATGCTTAAAAAATTATATCTATATTATATCTGTATATATTATAAAGATATAGAGAGAGAACAAGAAGTACAAGTCCTCATTTGCCCTTCCTGACTGGGCCTCAGGGGAGAGAGTCAGGGACAGCGCTCTGGAGCCAGCTCACTTGTATCCTGTCCTGATTCTGCCTCTGATTGGCTGGACGACCAGTGCCAAATCTCTTCCTCCTTCAGATCTGCAGGCTTTTGGTCTGTTAAATGGAAAGGCCAAGGCCAAACGGTTCCCATGCCCCTTCCATTTCTAGGATTCTGTGTTTTGATTGAGTGCTGCCTTGGACTGTAATCAAGAACTACAACCTTGGTGGCTTTACACAACAGAAATGCATTCTCTCTCAGCTCTGGGGGCCAGAAATCCAAAATCGGGGTGTCAGCAGAGCCACCCTCCCTGTGGGTGCTCTAGGGGAGGATGTGTTCGTTTCCCCTCCTAGCCTCTGGCTGCTCCTGGCCTTCCTCGGTGCTCTTTGGTGTGTAGCCGCATCCCCTGACCCTGGCCTCCAGGACTGCTTTGCCTTCTGTGTGTGTCTCGACACCTTTCTGCCTCCTCTTGTGAGGACCCTTGTGATGGCATTTAGAGCCCACTCAGATAATGAGGATGATGTTCTCATTTCAAGACCCTGAACATAATCATGTCTATAGTGGCTCTTTTCTCAAATAAGGTCACATTCACAGGTTCCTGGGATCGGGACATAGACACAGCTTGGGAGAAGAGGTTTTTCAGAAACCTATGATAAGCATCTACTATGACTGTGACCAGTTAAGGTCCAGGGAGATTAGAGACACAAGAATCTGCATCCTTACTCCCCAAGGACACAGGTCCAGCTGAGGCTTTGTCACCCACATACAGCACTGCCATGGAGCAGCACCAGACAGAAGACAGTAAGCCACATGGGAAGGGCCCTGCTCTGCACCTAGGCAGCCCTGGGTTCACATCCGAGCCTCGTCACTTGCTAGCCATGGGACTTTGGACAAATTATTTAATGTCTTTGGGCCCAAGTGTGCTATCCCCATAAGGATGTTATAAAGTTTAAGTATGATATGCACAGTGGCTGGCAACTAGGAGGTGCTTGTGGTTCAACATCACCGAGTGTCATGGCCCCGCTGAACGGCAAAGGTCTGAGGAAAGACGCAAAACGCCTTCCCCAGGGTGCGCAGTGGGAGGGTGCACAGATGGCCTATTGCCAGGATTTTCTAGCAGTGACATTTCCTTTACTTCCCAGAGCCTTCTCTCAGGTAAGATCTTTTGGATTACATTGATACAGAGAGCAAATATATTTACACCCTGGGGTGATCCAGAGAGAACTGGAGAGAGTCAGGCTCACACGGATCCAACTTTCAGGTTTTGGTCATTCGCTTGAGGCTCCAAGATGCTGACCCAACCCGCAGTAGAGAAAGGAGCCTCAGGCCATGCAGGCCTTCTCCACTCTCCTCGCCCACCTGGCACAACGCAGGATGGATGCTTCTTGTGCCTGTTGCTTTTGCCAAACCTGCAAGATAGGAGTGAACAGACGAAATGCTGTTTGCAGTCAGGTCTCCCCTCCCAGCAGCAGGTCTGTGGCTGGGTCAATGTTTAACCTTTGTCTGGAGTCAATGTTTAATCCCAGGCGGGCCAGCCCTGTAATCCAGCATTCCCTATCAAGCCTGAGACAGAGTCATTTTTATATTAATTAGTGGAAAATAGAATTGTGACAGTGAGTCTGCCCAAGCCAGTCCTTGCATCTTTGTGGCCGATATTGAATGTCTGGAGCTATTCAGACACCAATCACCCACTGACCCCACGAACAGATAACGCTGGAATTGGCAGGAACACAGCATTGATTCTTCTTGTTCCTGCTCTGCCTTTCGAGCTGGGGAGAAGAGCATGGGATAAGACTGATGCCCTTGTTGCTCAGCTGGCAGCATGTGCTGTTGGCTAACAACAGCCCGCGTGTAACCGTTGCCTGGAATCTCACCGGAGAGCTGGAACTGGAACAGTCCAGTCAGCTGGGCTTGGGCGAGTTTTTAAGGCTTACGTGTGGAGGGCTCAGCCTTCTTCCAGATGAGACTTCCAGGTGTGGGAGAGAGGAGGATTAATTACAAGAACTCTACATTTCCCTGACTACTGGGAGATTCTACAGGCGCTTGGCAGGCTCCTTCCTAAGGCACTCAGGGTACAGTGTCTACACGCTGGCAGCCCTGTGCCAATGAGGGAAACATCAGAGGATGACAAGCTGAGTGGTGGAGGCTAGGGAGGCCAAAGAAGAGAAGAAATGGGGCTGCAGGGTGACTTGCTGGCCAAACTTAGTGTGTGAGCTTCCGATCTCTTACTCCGTCATGGGTACCTGTTCCCTGTGTCACTGTCCTCGTGTCCAGGCCCTCACCTTGATTCTTAGCTCCTTCAATCCCAAAGTGAAAGGCGTACTCC